AAACCTTCATTTTTCCTAAATTTGAAATCACCCAAGATGGTTAGATGGTATAAAGCTGGTTCAAACGTCAATCGATAGAGAATTTAAACGTTTGTTCAGTTTTAAATTCTCTATCGATTGACGTTTGAACCAGCTTTATACCATCTAACCATCTTGGGTGATTTCAAATTTAGGAAAAATGAAGGTTTTTAAAGTTTGAAAACCAATTTTCCAGTCTAGGTTTGGCGTTAGAGACTTAGATTTTCGTCTTTCCATGCTGAATCCGAATATCATATTGAAAAGCTTTTTCTAACGCATAATACTTTACAAAACTCATTTTTTCCGACACCTATAGATGAAAAACCACGGTTTTCCAGAAACCATACTTCCAAGGCTTTTGGAGAGAACTTTCTAGAGACAAAAAGAAAGAGCGTGTCAAGAAACCCCTAGGAACCAAATGACAACCTGATCTGTTCAGCCATTTTTAAGATAGTTTTCTCGTGGAACACGCCTATGACTCGCAATTAATTTTCGCGATTTTTCAAGAATCGCGAATAAGTGTTAAAAATCCTGTAATTTCGTTGACATAGATAAGTAGTTATTTTTCGTATATTCATTACTTTCAAAATCGAGAGCTAGAAAATTTAACACAAAATTTTTTATTTTACTATAGCTTATTTAGCTCTCAAGAAAATTTCTAAATAGATTTAGAAAAGCCAACAAATTCTCGTTTGTATTTCTTGAATCTCTTCTACCAGAGACAACAGTACTGCATTTCGACCAGATACCGCAAAATGGTGGAAACAAATTCAACCGTTTCTTTCATAAAAATACAGCCAAAAGATTCCTTCCACTCGTCAAAACAATAAAATAATCATCAATAATAATAAGTGGTACTGAGTGAATGATTATTTTCACTGAGTTAGTGGAGAGAGCAGAAGTTTCAACAATTATATCGTCAAGTAAACTCATCCAAAAATATCAACAATATATAAAACAAATCAAATGCTATCCGATTCAGGAAGACAAACTCCACGCCTCGGCGAATGCTGTAGACATTATGAAGGCTATTATTATGTTTAAATAATCCAAATCGCTGAGCTTCACAACAACATCGCAAATCTGTTCCTAAGGAAAATGCACTGATACGTCTGCTAGTCCATCAGGAGACCTTATTGAGGTCTACAAGTCTCTTTTATCATTCTCTTGCGAAAGGCGGAATAAGAGGCCCGATTGAATCCAAATGTCTACCACAGTTACGTCAGACTCAGATTCTCTCAGATTCTAAATTTTTTCACAAAAATATGCTTTACTTCTTGGAGTATTCAAAAAATGCTAAAAGCCCTATGCAAAAAGACAGTTTTTGATTTTAAAATCTTCTTATGACCAAAGCTGAAGTTGAAAATGCTTTAAAAGAATTTAAAACCTGAGATATTCCTGGATCGGACCATTTTTTTCGAGAGATCGTAATGGGTTGGAACTATCAGCATTTTTCATACTACAAATAACAATAAACCAATCACTTTTTGTAGGGCATTTGCGGCGATGCTCATATTTTAGCGAAAAACCGTTGCAAAAGTTCGGAAGACACTTTACTGCGAAGAGAACACTTTGCTCTACCAGACTATATATGAGAAAAAATTTTGAAGGCATTGGAAACAAAACGGGGATTAATAAAATTATACAAATCGACGTTGTTCAGGTGCTCCAAAAGATTTATAACTTTGAAAAAAAGTCGAGGAACACACGTTAATGACATTTAAACCAATAAAAGAGCGGAGAAGAAAAAGAGAACTGTCGTACAATACAGGCATATTGCAAAAATACCACAGACGATGTAGCAAACAGTTTGTTCTCCATATTCATTTTGATTTTTTTTGGCTCTTGTTGGTTTCTTAAGAAATATTTGTCTGTTTTGTTTATACTGTTAAATGAACAACTGGGAAAATACCAGTAGTACATGTGATTATATGCTTTCTCTTTTTCTTTGTTTCACTTGTAAGACAGATCTTCTTATTACTTGCTCGGTAGAAAAAAGTCACAAGTGTTTGCCAGAATGAAAATATTCCTTGTCCAAGAAAAAACTGCGTGATACTCTCCCGGTTTTCTCCTGATTTTTGCCCAAAACTCCTGATTTCGAAAATTTGGATTTGGGCATCCTGAACCTTAACTACCACTACTACTTAATGGCAACAGCCATTTTTTCCTATGTTGGAAAAATCTGATCGTCAGTTCTATCCTCAAAAAAGACGATCCATTTGCGAAATCGAGTTACTGTTCAAAAATCTCACTACTGAACACATTATCAAAAATACTAGAAAAAGTTGTTCATCATCGATCTACAGCTAGGTCCACTCGATTAGAATAAAAATGTGAGATCAATATTTTTGGATACCAGTAAGGTCTTTGATCAAGTATGGTACGACGCACTAATAATTTAAGCTACGCCAGCCAATATGAATTTTTCAGAATCATATGTTCTCATCCTTCCTCTCATTGCATCGTTATGATTTATTTGTTTGTAACTGTGTCTATATTAATTTATCTTATACATAACTATGACTGACTATGTGCGCTTCAATCCTTCATTTTCAACTTCTTCACTTCGCTCATTCCATCGCGAAATAGTAGACGACACCAATGTAGTTTTTTTGTATTAACCCTGGTTAAATAATAGCGTTACAGAATCCGATGGAATTTTCTACTTTTTTTCGATGATTTTTTGATTCGACTAGGAATACGTAAGCTCATGTTCCAAGATAGATTACATAGCGTATTATCAATTAGACATATCGTCTTCAGTTTTATAATATGATCGTGTTTATGTTGGAGAATAAACATCATTGTACACTCCATCAGAATACCCTAGTCCGCTTTTCCTAATGAAGTCCCCGAAAAAACATGAATTCTCTGATGAGTCTCCGAAATAACGTGAAATCCCTAGGGAGTTCTCAGAGATTCCTTGTAAAATTCCTGATGACTCCCTGATTTTCAGAGAGTGGAGAGAAATAATGCAGTCCCTCGTGATTCACTGGCGACTCTTCAGGGATTTCTTAGAGAGAATGTAGAACATATTCACCGTTTTGTTTTGCGTCTGCAGAGATATATAAAATGTGAAAATTTAAAAAGGAATCTCTTTTCTTTAGATTAATTTCTTTCTGTTTTAGATAAGTGTAGCTACTTCCACCTGAGACTCGTCGGCATTAAGTCGTCGTTTCGATGTAGATTAACTTTTCAGCCGAACGACTCGTCCACTGGACGAGGCTCGCTGAGTTGCTCAGGTGAGAACAAAATTCTGGCTGCGCCACTAGAGCATACATAGTTCAAACAAGAAAAGATAATTCAGCATAATATGCAAAATCTGGCAATGGACAAATACTTTACATTTGTAAGAATACAGATCGAACATTATCATTTTGCATTCGAAATATATGTCACTAATGCAGAATATCAATGGATGCAGATCTCAATTGGTTTCTAAGAGACATTTTTCAAACCAATAGCCTTGAAACTAAAAAGTGTCTTGACGATGAACGGGTTAATAAGCAAACGTATTGAGACGGACGTCGATCCAATCAACTTTTCAATGGTTTGTCAGTTTTTTTCTTCCTTATTTGCCTTTGATGGCTACGTCTCTAGCTTAGTTTATTAAATTCGTTGGATAATCGAAAGAATATCGCAGACAAAACTTTTCAATACTAGATTTTTTATCAGTATTAAAAACTACTGACAAGTAATTTGTAATGAAAGCAACGGATCAACAGTTATCAGCGATTATTCCAGTTCGTTATCGATTTTTATTATATGTTAGCATTTTTCTTGTTGTGATTGATGTTATTATCAACACATTTAGCGAATTTCTAGCACCGAATACATTCGGCCTTCTCATCCTATTCATGTATGTATAACGTAGTTTTTCTGCACAACTATTTCTTTGAACACTTCACATCAGATCTGATGAATCAGGCTACTCTCTATTCCTAAAACAAATTGTCTTTCCTTTCATACGTCTGTAATAAAGGATTGAAACAGTAAAGTATTAATAAAGATTTGAATTTTCTTTTTAGCGTTCAAGATGTTTGCGTTGTTTTATCCGTTACATTATTGATCATTATGGTTTTAACAACATATGTCGCACAAGCTGGCCTACTTTGTTTATTATTGAGAATGTTTCGTTTTTCACTTATTGTAGCATTTGCTTATCTATGTTTGTGTGCCGTTGTGCAAGCATTACTTTTAGTAAGTAATTAGTTGATTTACGTCTTTCTATGTGTAATCAAAGCATTCTCACGAATAGGCTCATCGATTTTCGGATTCATTAAGTAGTGCTTTTCAACGACCGGAAGTTTTAGCTTTCTATATCATTCAAAGAACATGTAAGTATACCATTTTATTTCAACAAATGTAACGGCTTATATACAGCAAAGAGACAATAGTCCAAATGCAGATTTTGAAAGTGAACGAAAGACAAAAAATTGAATTTGACTGAGAAACAAAATAATCCACCACAGTCGATAAGGAAGTTCATCTTCCTGTTAGTCGTGGATTTACTGATATTAATCTTATCTCTGTTAGTTTGATCAATCTTTACTTTTCTCTCTTTATAGTTTCTGTATTTTATTATTATGGCATGAAACGAGCTGCGTATCGATTATCAGATCCACATTTCTATCAATCGTCACGTTGGTTACAAAGTTTATGGGAAAAACGACGTACAGCTGCTACAGGAGCCACAATGAATGCAGCACAAACAACTGGTTGCCAATGTTGTACAATCCAGTAGAGAAAATTTGTTTAATGATAATAATGACAACACTTTTTTCTATTCACTTGTTGGTTTTAGCAAATATTATGTTTTTCTTCCGTCCATTTTCTTTCTCTTATTTTTTTGTCAGATTTATGTTTGCAGATGTATCTACATTTTATTTTTAACAATAATGTTGTGTTCAACATTTGATTTTGTCTAATAAAATTTGTAGCAGTAATTTTACAATAGGTGTCTATCATTATTTAAAACAGTCGAGACATGTATGGGATACTACAATGGTATAGACAACCACAAGAATCAATCGGGTCAAAAAACAAACGTGTATAGTTGCTTACTCATAGTATATATAATTATAATTTGATCTTTTATATAGCATAAGAGGGAGAATTTCGTACCATTCAATAAAAACCCAGTCAAAAATCAACATCATTCATGAAAACGCAAGAGGTGCTGTCAATCTTTTAATCTATGCATAAGTTTGATGAATTAATTCATCGTTAACTTTCAGACATGATTACCACTTTATTTACAAATGTTTCTCGATTAAAATTGAATAAACACTTGCCAAACGAATCAAAGATCTAAATATAGCCGTGTACCATTGTCAATGACGCAAAGTTTAATTAGAACAAGTAAAAAAAGTAAGAATATGTCATTCATCCCCTATCAATTTATTAGTCTTTGGGTGTTTTACTCATAAGAATTCTAGGTATTTCAACAGACAAAACATGCGAATGCTGAATTCATGGAAATAACAAAGTTGTTTTACTTAATTACATTAAAAAGCATTGTTTCGTGATGAAAAGTAAATGGTCGGTTGATTGCTCGCTAACTCATTGGTATAATGTTTTCTGTTTTTAGAGTGTTATACAGAATGGTCTAATTCATTGAAAACAGATTGTGTTGTGCAATATAAAGTATAATTTAGTGAGCTGGCATCTTAATATTTTTATTAACCTACACATCCTTTTTTCATTCTAGTTCAAATTACTGGCGCTGAAACTCGACAAACATGCACTTGACAAACTTAGAGTAGAAATCAGATAAAGTCACACGAAATGTCGATAACTGAGTACATAGACAGAACTCTATCTTTTAAATGACTTTCTCAACTTAAACAGCTTTCATCTTATAGATCTCAGTATAGAAAGCAAAAATAGAACTAAGCACAATATTTATTATCGACATGATTATTCGAATTTTGAGCAGGATTGAAAACGATGACTTCGCTTTTAAACATATTAAACCTTTTTTTCCTTTATTTTAGAAAACCGAAGGTTGAAAAAGTATAAATGTAAAACCTGATTAGGATATTTCTGGAATAAACTTTAGTCAAGAACGAAATTCAGCATCTCTTTTCAGAATGTAATATTACGCACTCGTATTACCAGACGTGATCAAAACCAAGCAAATGCATGTTATATTGCAATTGTTCTAGAAGAACTTAACAATCGATCTGTCATCGTATTTGGATAAATATTTGTCATTAGCTAATTAATATCGTGAAAACATGATAATAAGAATGTGAATGAAACAAATGTGTATATAGCTTAAAATTTGAAAAGTTTAACATAGATGTTTTTATTTTTATTATTTTTTACTTGCTTTGCTTTGCAGGCGTATGCTAGGAGCCTTAAATCGAGTATTCCGAGACGCATCACAAGCCATTCGTCTGACTCTTTACAAGACTTGTGTTCTACCCCAAAATTGACTATTGCTCAGCAGTTTACGACTCGAACTTTTCCACACATCTTGCTCCACTAGATTCTCTTCAGAAGCTTGCGGCGCGCATTATTACCAGAAATTTCGACTCTGAGACAGACAGTAGTACTCTCGCTACCCAGCTACGACTGCCTGATCTTACAGTGCGTAGGCGCTATTTTCGCCATGTCGCTTTTTACAAATTATATAACAACCTCTCTCCTTAATCGTCAAGAGTATATAACTGGAGTTAGAAACACGAGATCACTTCGCCGTAGCACGAATTCTCAAGCGGTAGAAGTACCTTTTACCACCTATGAGACAGTGCAGTCCTCTTTTTTCTGGAGAACTCCTAAGGACTGGAATCCTCCATCAATGGAGCATATAGTCTCAAAACCGTCTCTCTCTGCTTTTAAAGATGCTCTCAAACTCTTTCTTCAAATGTGAGACTAATGTTTTTTGTTTATCAATATTTGTACTGGTTTTCTTGTCTTGCTCTTTTGTTCTTCTCTTTACCATTTTGCTTGTACCTTCTCTCCTTCCTCTATGGGCATGTTGACAAAGTTATCTGCCTAGATTCTTAATCAAACGCAGTTTTTATTTTGTTACAAACTTTTGCACTAGCAATGTTTTTTCTTTCATGTATCCATGGCTATGCCAGAATAAACTGAACTGAACTGAACTGAACTGAACAATCCTGTGTATGCATATGTCAAATTGTTTGCTTTATACTCGATACTATTTATCTCTTACGGTTCACAAATCAATGTGTTTACGTAAAATTTTTTCAAATTCTATCCTGATTTTGGTGTTAAATGCATAGATGAACTTCACTCTTTATAAAGAATTATTTTTTTAAGATTATGACATCAGTCGATGAAATAACGTTAAACGAAAACAAAGTCATATTGAATAATCTTATACCCAAATATAACTGGAATGTTCGTTTTGATAAACGATTTGATCAACAATGGAAACCATTTTTGCGTCCAAGACCAAACCAAGTACTGGAATATATACCGTTACTTACGAGGTGAGATTATATCAGATATATCGATCACTACTCTTTTTTCTAATTTAATAACTCGCTTTAGATACATGAAATATTATTTACAGATGAAAAAATTGAAACGAAGACCACGTAAGTCCTAATATAACTTTGCAATCTCAATTTTAGTTTTAAAATCTTTTATGCTATAGATATGGACTTTTTAAATCCACAACTATTGCAGCAAATATATGGTAGATGGAATAGTTTTTCAAATTAAGCAAAATAAATAATTGTCTTGTACGTCTTTTAGGTGTTCCAATTGGAGGACTGGGTTGTGGGACTATTGGACGTGGCTTTCGTGGTGAATTCTGTAGATATCAACTCTGTCCGGGATTATACGAATTTCAAATAGTTGAAGCAAATACAGTAGGATAATATTGCTTTGTATTTTTCATAAAAGAATGTGAGAAAACGTTAGAGCAACCTTTTTCGTTACCACCATATTATCTGAGTCGTTGTAAAAATTTTACTAAATTATTGTACTCGATTCTTTATATAAAAATGCATTGGATCAAATTTTTCTGTTTAGTTTACTGTGTGCGTTCGTCGACATAATTTGACAACTTATACCCAAGTACTAACACCGTATCAGTTGACGAAAAACGGTTTCCAAACATGGAAGTCTGCTTATCCAAAAGAATGTGGTAATTATTATGGTCTCTATCCACAATCATGGACAGTATATGATTTGCCTGGACAAAATATTAAATTATTATGTAAACAATTATCACCAGTCATTCCACATGATTACAAAGTATGTTTTTTTTCTATTTCTCTGTCTTTTCATTACTTCATGTATATCTACCTTTTTAGGATTCATCATTACCAATAGCAGTATTTGATTGGTATATTGAAAATTTAAATGATGAACCTGTTGAAGTTAGTTTAATGTTTATATGGCAATCTGGTTCAGGTGTGAATATAATAACATAATTTTAAAGATTTTTTTATAATGAATAATTCTTTTTTTTTAGCTTCTCAAGAATTTTCATGTACAAATGTGACGCACGAGTTTATTACAACTTCTCATGGTCATGGTTTTTCCATTAATCAATTATTACGTGAAATGAAATTAGAATATTGTGTAGTTGCTAAACAAGAGGTAAAAATAACAAACGTGCATGACTAATATGTTCATGAGTAACAATATCAACAAATAACGTTTCCATTTTTAGTGTTTTAATTTCAATTCTAGTCCGATAACAGTATAACAGTGAAAACAAATTTTGATCCAGACTCAGAAAAATCAGGACAAGCTCTATGGTATGATCTAATAAGTGATGGACAACTAGATGGTATTTAGCTTCTTTAGCATTGTCTGTTGAATTCTATATATCTCTTTTCTGCTTAGAAAATCAAAAGGAATTTCCACAAAAAAGTTCAGTTGGAACAGCTAGTTGTGTCTGCGTACAAACAACCGTTCAACCTCAAGAAATCAAAACAACAGAATTTGTACTTGCTTGGCATATGCCAATTGTCAAATTTGGTTGTGCACAAGAAAGTTATAAACGGTATATCAATTGTAATTTAATAATCTCTTTTCATACATGACACTTTTTTTATCATACATCTAGCTGGTATACAAAATTTTTCAATGAATCGGAATTATGCGGAGCACATTTATGTTCTTATGCGATGGAATCGAAATCAAAATGGGAGATAGCAATTCAACAATGGCAACAACCAATATTAGATGATGAGTGAGTTCAAAAATACATTGTTGCATATTAAATAGAAATATCATAGTTTCATTTTTAAACTAGAGAACTACCAGATTGGTATAAAAGTGCATTATTTAATGAACTTTATTTTGTCTCAGATGGAGGAACGGTATGGTTTGATGTAAGCAATGATGAAAAAGTATCAAATCATATTAGAAAATGGGGACGATTTGCATATTTAGAAGGTAATCTAAAGTTGAATCATTTTTAATTCGTTGTCAATAAATTTTTTCTTCTTGTACAGGTCAAGAATATCGAATGTACAATACGTATGATGTACATTTCTATGCTTCGTTTGCATTAATTATGAATTGGCCTGAGTTAGAATTGAGTATCCAATATGATTTTGGTAAATGGTAATAGTTGTTCTATTTCACCATCATTGTATTCTCTGTTTTATTTTAGCGGACACAATTTATAAAGAAACTGAAGAAACAAGAATATATTTATTTCATGGTTCCATCGCTTTAATTAAATCACTGCATTGTATACCACATGATTTGGGAGATCCTGATGAAGAACCCTGGCTCAAACTGAACGCTTATAGTGTTCATGATACATCGGATTGGAAAGATTTAAATATAAAATATTTATTACAAATCTATCGAGATTATGTGTACACAAAAAATAAACAGTTTTTAATCGATGTTTGGCCAACAGTGAAATTGGTAACAGATAGAATAAAAACATTTGACACTGATGGTGATGGTTTAGTCGATAATGGTGGTTTTGCTGATCAAACATACGATGCATGGAAAGCAACGGGAGCAAGGTAGGAAACGTCTGGTGAATGTAGGCAGTTTTTGATATCATCTACACTATTTAGTGCTTATTGTGGTGGTCTACATGTTGCATCACTTCGTGCTTGTATTGAAATGGCTAGAGTGATGAATGATTTACAGGCAGTAGAGGAGTATGACATGTGGCTTGAAAAAGCAAAAAAATCATTGAATGAGAAGCTATGGAATGGTAAATGAATTAGACAATTTATTTCTAAATATTATTTGGAAATATTCTTTGTTATTTGAAGGACAATATTATGACTATGATAGTAGTCAATCGCGACATCATAACAGTATAATGAGCGATCAATTGTCAGGATTCTGGTATCTTCGTTTATGTGGTCATCAATATGAAGTAAATATTATCATATTTATCATATATTAAGTAAAAGTTATTCTCGCTGAATATATAGGAATTTGACAAAGAACATGTTGACAGTATATTACATACAATATTTAAAATAAATGTGATGCAATTTGGGGACGGTAAGTTAGGTGCCGTTAATGGAATGACCAGTGATGGTCAATTGGAAACAGCTAGTATACAATCCGAAGAGGTTTGGACCGGTGTCAATTATAGTTTGAGTGCAACAATGATAATGGAAGTGAGTTCTACTTTTCCTATAGTTTTCTACTACTAATCCAATAATTGAAAATTAATTCTCACTACACATTCGATTTATTTTTTACTACTTTTGTTTTTAGAATATGACACATGAAGCATTTCTAACATCGGAAGGAATTTATAATACGTGTTATAATCTAGCTGGTCTATCATTTCAAACACCAGAAGCCTTAATGAAAACTAAAACATTTCGATCGGTATGTGTGGAATTATATAATGGGTGGTTCAGTGTGAAAATGGATCACTTTTTGTTTTCGATTTTTCTCAGACGTGTTTCATCCATTTGAGTTCCATTCATATACCACAAGATGCGTCTTGAAATTCTCTACAAAAATGGTATTAAACGTTTTATTATAAAAGTAAAAGTGGACGGATATATGAAAAACACTGATGAGGTTTGAAATAATTAACTGTCGAACCGAAATAATAGTTTTTGGGGTTTTATTCCTTTATCTGTTGAGATATGAAAAAATCTAACTAGCCAATTTGTAGCGCTGGAAATACTATCTTCTAGCAATAATCAGAATTTTACTACAGCACGATTGATTGATTGCAGAAGAATTTTTGTTTTATTCGTTTTCAGAATGATAATTATTTTCGCACATAAGTTTCGCACTATTGTGTAAAATCGGCCTAACCCGTACCAAATCAAACTTTTTGAGTTCGGATTTTCCCTTGATTTATAGTGAAAAGAGATGTTTTTTATATCCAAATACAAGAAGTACAATAACTCTCTTTCTTTAAATATGCTAAGTGAAAAGATGAAATTTTCCTTGCTATCCAGTGAATTTCAATAAGGTTACCCTTTGTATCATAACACTAGGCTTGGGCAAAATCCATCATACACAATGAGAAAGATCACCATTGACAGCATCAGAAAACTTATTTTGGTGTATCTTGGCAACTGTGCAAACGTATGAAAAAAAAGTTGAATTCGCTGAAAATACTTTAGAAAGTTGACTATGTCAAGTCTCATCAGTGTTTTTCATATATCCATCCACTTTTACTTTTATAATAAAACGTTTAATACGGTTTTTGTAGAGAATTTCAAGACACATCTTGTGGTATATAAATGAACTCAAACGGATGAAACACGACTGAGAAAGAAAGTGATCCATTTTCACTGGACCACCCGATAGTTCGCAACTGATTTTAGAACTATGTTCCATGCTTTTTCTTCCAGTGCGGTTATATGAGAGCACTAGCCATATGGTCAATGCAAAAAGCTATTGAACTTACACGTTCGTATAAACAGAAAAATCATATTGAAAATGACAATCTTAGCTAGAGTACGAACAGCGATTACTAAAATCATTTAATCAAAAATCAGTTCTATATTTCAAAAATTCAAATATTCTGTGATCGACTGTATTGTGTTGTACTTGTATTGTGCTTCTTGTATTGTACTTCATGCTATGAGTCGACAATAGTATCGACTTTTCTTCTATAAATGCGTAAGAAAGTGGTTGAAGACGACTAAACTTATTGTATTTAGCTGATAATTTTTTGTTACTTTTTCCATCTCTGTTGATCTCTTATTATTCTTGTTTGAATCCAAATACAGTTTTTATTTTATCTATTTATTAAATGATAGTTATCAGATGTAGAACAATAAGACCGTCTCGTTTTATATATTAACTTTTTTTAAATAATAAATATATTGAAAGATAGTGAAAAAGAAGATTAAAAATTAGCTATTAGGTAAAATAATAGACATGCATGACTAATATGTTCATGGGTAATAAAATTCGAGTGATTGTATCTCAAACAAGTTACAACAGTCACCCATTATGTACGAAATTACTCACCAGACGCCCTACAAACTTGAAAATGCAAGGAAGAATGTCTCAGATTTCCATTTTGCTGCTATTTTCTATGGAACTGAACAATTTAAATGTCGGATTGCTTATTACTAAATCATACGATGTTCTCTCTACCTTATACACAGAAAGCATGCAATTCGTTTACAACATCATTTTTCTCATATTTTTTAAACAATAGATTCAAATCTTACTCGGACTGATAATAAAACTGACAAGGAATAGTCTGAACTAAACTCCTGTAATGTGATACTACAACATCATCTTGGTTTATTCTCAGAGCTTTGTATGGAGTCCATAAATTTAGTTGACTAAACTAGCTGTAGAATTCATTGAGTTCATGGACTCTGCTATAAAAAGTTTTTTACTCAGAAAAAATAAGAGTAAGAAGGGCAAAAATGCCAACTATCGCAGCTTTGTTATCTCAGTCAATACAAAGTGGATTAAATTAATTTATCTTATTCTGATCACACTTTCATTTCAAAAAAATAAAAATCCATTTGCGATGTTCACTTGACTATTCTGAAAATTATTCTTTACTATTTTGTTTAGAGAAGCAAAAAAAGTAATAAATAGGGCCGGGCCAGTTAAATCTCTTTTTCTGTGAATACATAATTACACTATTAAATATTAAGCAGACGTTTTTTTGTGAAATACTCAATTTGTGACAGTTACTCTCAAGTTTACAATAAACTTAGAACTCTCTCTTTTATTCGCATATACATGCACAAATATTCAGTATATACCATTCAAGAGCTGTGTGTAAAACATGTAATTGATGTATATTTAATTGTTTCATCATATCTACAATCACACTATGTACTCTCATACTTTTTCTTGCTTGCAACGAAAACTAGGTTCCTTATTCTAGCATGTGATTTGTATTATTGAAAACTTTGTCAAAGATTAAGATTTAATTTTGTTAAATATAAAACATGATGGCTTCGCGCGAGAAAAAATGTACATCAAAGCGATTAAATTCGATACACTTTGATGTTGATTATTGACGTATTTGCTATCGAAAATTCGAGGAAAGTAAATGAATGAAGAAAATTAAACGTGATTCAAATAATAATAAAACAAATCTCGATTCTCAATTAACTAATGGAAAAAATACAACAATTACCAAAACAGATTTGAATGCCATGTCATCACAATCGTTTGGAAACTTGGTTTTAAATCACAATACATATCGAGCAACAAATGGTATGTAGAAATTTTAAAATATTGTATAAAAGCACCTGTCTATTTCAACAGTATCAGGGTAAGGACTTGATTATACTGAAAGTAGTGAAAAGGTGCTTTTCAGCTTTAGCTAATCTAAACGGTTTTTGCATCATTGATTGAGTCGTTCGATGAACAAAGAAAATTATACGTCGTGAAGTAGTCCTAAACATAGTGTTATGATCGCTCTTTTTATTATTCAGTCATCGCATTGTTTTAAAGTAGATAGATTTAACAATTTTACAGAGAAATGATCGTATATTCTTTTATATAAATGAAAGAATCTGTTTGAATCTTCGCCAAAGTCAACATTGGTGATGATCTATTTTTTTCCCAATTTTAGATATTTTTACGTACTCTAGAACTAACTTTTTCTAAGGACTTTTCAAGTGTTTTTCTACGTTTGCTCTTGTGTCACCTTGGCAGGGGCGTAGCTAGCATCTCAGAACAGGGATTCTATCCATAAAAATTTTTGTTCTTTCCAAAAAAAAGTTTGTTTTGAAGCGCGAAGCCTTAAACTTTTCTAAAACCAGGAGGCGAGTGACCACCTCCCAGTAACTACGTCTCTGCATCTTGGAATTTTTTAATTTAAGTTGTTGATACAAACTATTCTATAGAACCATCAAATCACAAAAGCAGTACAAATAATCATAATAGCACACAAGTCTATCAACCACCAAATTTAGGCCTGATACCACCTAATCTACTAAATAGTGTATTTTGTAATGATCCTTTGATAATACAATCGACAGCCGTTGCCGCGTGTCTAGCAAATAAAATAACTTCCAGTCTATCCCAGCAACAATTTCCATTACTACCAGTCAGTTTTGATCCCAATACAAATCCACTAGTTTATTTACAATTGTTAAATGCTAATGCTATGTTTATGCAGCAATTAGCAACTTTTAATCCACTGCTAATGACTCCTGAAATAAAGAATTCATTATTATCAGCCGTTACAAACTGCCAATCTAATGATATCGCCCAACAATTACAAAATCAATTAAATAACGGTCATCCTAATATCTATCCGAGATCGCGAAATACACCATCACTATATCAAAACGGTACAACCGGAGCTAATGTTAGTACAGTAGTATCACCAATTAACAATAAGTTACAGTCACTATCAGTACCACTAAACTCATCGGTAATAACAACTGTAAGCAATGATGCTACAACAGATATGAGTGAGAATCAATTGCCACTTCCACAGGGTAAACGAAACTTGACATCAAGCACCACTCGACTTACAATTCCACCCAAAAAATCGCTAACATTACAAGCTGATTCTAACGTATTTGCACCAAAAACTGGTCCAATGACTCAGGAACAAATTGCTGAACATGCACGACTTGTCTATGAACGTGCACTACAACGAAATCAACTGAGGCAACAAAGTGATTTAATGAAACATGTATATGATACATTAAATAATAAAAAATCAAATATAGCTCAACCAATAATAAAATCAGTCACAAATTTATCCAAATCAAATTTAGGGACTACATCCGGTAATCATGAGATTATTAAAGCAACAATTTTGTTGGAAAAAAATTCCAACGATCTTTTTGTTCCCGGTGTTCCTAACAGCAATGGTGGTAAAAGAAAAATTTAGTATTTCTACTATGAATACATAACTACGTTTCTCTTAATAGGCGAACCCGGTAACACTTTGGATTCATTGATAAAAACGACAGAAGAAGAAATAGAATCTAGTAGTAATCAATGCATAAGTCGTTATGATAACACTACTCTATTATTACCATCAACATTATCAGATAATACCGGTCGAATGATGAAAAGTGAAGATGAAAGAACAATATCAACAACTATCATTCCGCACCAATCAATTTTAGATCCAGGTTGATTTTGATAATTGTCATTGTTTATAGTAACTGTGTGTCACTCTACTTTTAGCTGCACCTGTCTTTTTTCCCCGTCGAATTGTGAAATGTAGTATTGGTGATGGTGTTGATAATGAAACATCAAGTTCATCATCAGATTCTGATTATAATGATTTTAATTATTTAGATCAATTTTTAGATGAATTTTATAATTCCTTTAATGAATGTGATAATCATTTAATTATATTACGTGATAATGGTGGTAATAATGATCGTGGTAAAAAAACATCAACAATAGCGAATTCTTGTCCAATTAATAAAAGTCAACGATATATAAACAATAGTGTTTTGGGACAAGGTGATGCATCAAGAGTTGATGTCTCAAATTCAGTCGACAATTCAACAACAACAACAAAAACATGTAAAGATATATTAAATGATAATACATATAGTAACAATGATAGAGAAGAAGAAAATCCGTCCGTAGTGTTGTCTACGAGTAATCAAAACGATTTTTGCCAATATTCAATTCATCAACTACTTGATCGTTATAGAAATCCACGATGTCATATAGTATTACCAGAATGGTCACGTTTAAGTTTAATTTTATCGTCTGGTATGCATACGCATTTAATAACTATTTATAGACTTCAAAAAGTATCAATTATCATTTTAGTTTGTACGATGCGCACTCATACCTATAAAATAAAACGTTATTTTGCATATCGTCGACGATTACGCGAAAATGAAGATTTTTATTTAACTACAACGATAGACAATGGTAAAGAAAAAAATCTTAAATATTCATTATCAAATGATAATAATTTAAATGAAATAACTTCGTATATGAATCAAGTCATATTGAGTTCACAAAGCTAAATGTGTTATTTATTTATTTACATGGTTTGATTCGCTGTAAATATGTATAAAAACTTATTTTTGTTCAGAAACAGACAAGAAGTACTGGATATTTATTTCTTATCATCATTTAATGAAGCAAAAAAAGAAAAGATTTGATAAAAATAACGATAGAGTTCACAAACAAAAACCTGTACAATTTCACTTTTCTGTATGTAAGAATAAAATTGCAATGTAGTAGATGCTAGAAATGGAAAACAAAATGAGCACAAGAAAATACAAAACAAAAAATAAGGCACAGAATCTAAAATTAAAATGACTAGTCAAATGTTAAATTGACTGAAACAAACATATCATCAACAAACACAAAAAGATTTGGGTAATGTTTGTACGTAAGGCATAATCATCAATAGACGTGTCAAAATTAATGGTTCAGACTATATGATAGAAAAATTACGTATTCAATTCATTTAATGAAACAGACAACGGAGTAAAATTTACAATGAGAATTATTGCAAGCGATCAGATGCATTAGGCAAATCTCCGTGAGATATATGAAATTATTGTAAAATACACACAGAACTTTTTGGCATAGACACTTTTTTTTTATGTCGATCTCTAACACCAATGCCAAGTGTATGATGAAGTTCACGCTGTTCATATCCTAAGTAATCAAATAAAAAAAAATATTGATTCTCATTGTGTAATAGCCTAAAATAGTATTACCTCGTTTATACACGTGACGATTGAATTTTCCAAAGGCTAAATTTCCTCTAAAATAAGGCAAAACCCTAGTGAATGTAAGTTACTTACATAAAAGTAAATTATTCAAGTAACTCTCACAAGTATCGGCGAGCCATTCGATAATTAAATTAAGTATCTGGCAAGTTATAAAGATTTACCACGTTCTTATAATACTTGACAAGTGTTTATCAAGTACTTGTAGAAATTTGAAAATATACAAGTACGCGCTTACTAGAGAATGTTATGAATGTTTAAATAAAGTTCACACGTTTCTATATCTTACTTTCCTAGACCCGGTTTCACTTTCACTCTGAAATGGGCAACAACAGGCTTATGATCAGAATGTTTAACTTGAAAGACAGATTTATAATGTGTACATTCAATTTGTTCGTCCTGTTTACATCGATATAAAATACGATCCTAAAAACAGCAAGGTACAATAGATTTCATCCTAAAACTGATGCGTTATTTATTTATTTCCCATTACCGTATATGATGGTGTTCGATGTTTTGCATAATTATCACTATTGCTTAAATCATATTTATATGTTGGATCAAAACAAATATCACCTTCCAAAAAATCTTTGTAACAATCATCTAAAGTCAGACTATTATTTTAATAAGAAACGATTAATAATTATAGATAAAAATGAGTTAAAAAAGGGAAATGATTACATATTGAATTATGAATTGTTAACGTACCATTTTTACTTTGAGCAACTTTGAATTCATCTTTCAATAGTAAATCCTTGTATTGATTTTGTTTTATTAGATTAATAACTGTTTGTGGATGTTCTTCTATTCTAAAGTTCATGTCACCAGCCCATAAGACATAATCCGAAAATCTTGTCACATCTCAAATACAGATTATTGTTGAATAAATAAAATATAAATAAACGAGAATATATATTACCGACACTTGTTGCTAGAGTATTTAACGATGATGTGGATGAAGTTTTTACTGAACTATTCAAATTTGAAGTTTTTTCAATACGTTTGATGTATACATGCGGTATAGTTAATTTTGCTTTTGTATTTAAAAAATTTAATTTTCGATTAGCTCGTCCATCTTTATCGTCGCCAGCTAAAATAAAAAATATCAACTTTTGATGATCGATAGTACATGTGAATATCTTTGTACCTTCAAAATGTGAATTAATAATCATAAATGATGTTCCAAATAAATTAAATGTAATGGCAAGTGATGCTTTTGTTCTTACCGGACCAATTGTACGAAATTTGTAGACATCTTGTTCAGGTTCTAAATATAAAGTTCAGATTTTATTATTTCAATTATTTTTTTTAGTTTAAAATTGAACGTACCGGAACAAAACCATATAAGATCACGTCGTAAAAATATACACAGTGACAATGTTCCAAAATGAACAGAATGAAATAAAACGTGTGATGGACCAATAACTTCTTGTAATAAAATTTCCCAATCTACTCTAAATGTTATAGTTTGATAATAATAATTAAATTTGATATTTCATATAATTACCTATTCTTTGATGCAGACATTTCTTGTGTACAAATTACAATTATATCTGCTACATAATCGATCCATGTTGGTAAAATAATATCGGACATATCTTCGATCATTTGTTCTTTGGTTAAACCGGTTTTCTTCGGTGAATTTTGTTCATATAAATTTTTTGCTTCACCGGTATTCCATGTAACCACCATTATCGTTGCTTCTCGTTGTGGAAAGCATTTATCAAGATCGCTATAATCGTCTGTCACTTGTTGACTGGAGCCAACAAGAAAATTTCTAGGATAAAAGGGTAATCAATTAAAGTATAAAAAATTAAAATAATGGTATGATACCTATGTCGAGCATTTGCTATTGCCAATAAATGAACTGATTTCACAAAAGTATTGACAATAGATGGTTTAGATTCTACGGAAGTTGTAGTTTCCGAAAGAGCACTACAATCATCATTTTTAGTTGATTGTCTTCGTGTGTTAAACGGTATATCAACTACAGCAGAGATTGTTGGTGAGGGTGTTTCATTATTGTTAATTATTTTACCGTCATTGTTTGTATGTGTATTGGAATCGAATGAATACGACGCATTCGTACCAATATCAGGTGTCATACTTTGACTACCTTGTTGCTTTGCAGTATTTATTAACTCATACTGATCGCTGCTATCAAGTGTATTTTCTGATTTCACATAAACATCCACTGTTGAATTGCTATCATTAGCAATTGTTTTACTCATTTATTAATTCCAAACAATAAATGATTTTCTAGTGCCATTCATGCAGAATAATCGTTCTAGAATTCAAATTATTGATTGCAGTATTTTCGTCATACTATCAGTACAGCCGCCATATTTCATAGAAAAAATTTAACCAAAAGAACAAGAAACACTTTGATCTCTCCATTGCTATAAACTTTGTACACGACTTTCTATATTTCACAATGTCCTTCTTATAGAAGGAATATACTCTTTATAGTTCTGGACCTCGATCCAAGTGTTGTGGGCGTAGAACGATTAAAAGTTTTCATATAGTACCACTATCATAACCCTATTGTTTGTCCAAGCAACACCTCTCATTTGAATCGCAGTATGCAATTATATCTGATGTCGCCACATTGCGGTATATACTTTTTTCTTGACCCTATCAGCTCAGTTATCAGCTTTTATAACAGCAACCATGAAACACACGAGCAGGTTATTCTTATATGCTTATCTATACTATTTTTAACTAACAAAATTTCTAATGTTTTTGAGTAGTTTCTCATCAACATAAGATCAAAGGGATTTAAAGACTTACAAATGAATTTTGCATTAAAATCAAACATTTTTTAGTCGTGAAAGAGTATATGTGCAGATGCTTCCTATTAGCAGTGGCAGAGTATTAGTGCATCAGCTGAGATACAAAAAATATTTCCCATAATGATATTAGTAGGTAAATATCATAACTTTGACATTAGCATTGTCAAAAGATCAAGCAAATAAAAATGAAAAGAAAGAAATAAGAAATAAACTTGTTTATTTAAAATTTTTTTAATACAATTACAGACAAGAGAAATCGAGTGGAGAATATTTTATAATTTAATGCTTGTGGAGTGTTGTTATATTTCAATTATTCATAAAACAAGAACACAATAGCATAGTGGAAGTAAAACAAATTATAGATCCTGTCACCATTCAGTAAAAATAAGCTGTTGTCAAGCACGTTGATTGTGATCTATAGATCATCTTCTAATAGCACATAACTAGTCGTGTGCTATCACCACATTGGCTGATATGACTGAAGATGTCATAGTAGAGTAAATAGCTCCTAACTGTCTATTTATCGCCTTCAGCTGTTTATGGTACAAAATCCCTCTGAGTTGAATATTTTGACGACTTGTCAACAAATTGTATAAATTTGATTGTGTAATACAACGAAACGATTATTATAAGACCATTTGCGAGGTCACTGTTGGTAAATGTAGTTCTTTTAAAACACGCTTTTAAATAAATCAAATTTAGAATATGATAATTGATTTCGTTTGTTAAAAACTTTATCACTTGCCCACGCTTGGGTCTTCTTGTCGTTTTACATGCATAAGTTGGAATGTATTCCATAAAATCTGCAGGTCAAGAGTATTTTTGGACGCAAACTGTGCCGATATGAATAAAACTGGTTTAAAAATACTAACTCATCTTGTCAGAAAATAATTTCCGTTTTCAATATCGTTAGTCTATAAAAATCTTTAGCATGGAAAACACATATAATGCACTGTTTCGTTGCTTGTAGGCCTCGATTAATCAGAAATGTATTGGAAATATTTAAATCTGTTTAGAGTCAGAAGCACAGTCTCTTGATTGAGTATTGATGGTGGTGATACTGAATCAGCGACAAAACAGTTTTTAAAAATATTAACAAAAAAAACCAATTATTTCTTAGTATAACTGCTCAATTTCTCTTACAAGTTGTTAATTCTATTCTGTAACCATACTGTGGATTCTGCCAATTCATTTTTAAAGGTTTCGCGTCAACTTGTTTATGTACCCTAGCGAAACTATCAACAATGATAAATCGTCTGAGAAAAAATGCCTCCAAAACGACAAAAACAACAGGTGGTAATGATAATTGATACGATGAACTTGATAGTTTATCCATCTCAAGACAATTTCAAGCGTATAAAGAATGGTTTTTTCTCAATCTAGTCTTACTGAAGTATGATTAAGGTTATTCTGTCGAGTACTATAGTAATTTCTAATACTATAACCACGTTCGTATTCTTGTTTCGCGTATTTTTGTATTTTATATTACTTTATTCTTATTTCCTTGAGTACAATGTACGCCTTCAACATAACATCTCCACGTTCTTAAACAGATGATTATTGCATAGAATTCCAGTTCATGTGTTGGATAATTTGATTTAGCTGAACTTAGTTTTTTTGATTCATAGGCAATGCTTCTTTTATTTATAAAAATGATTCTTCTTCGATAGATGTCTAGTTAAAATCACGATCAGCCTTTTCCAAATCGGTTAACGGGGTTGCTAGTTGAGAAAATGCAGTAATAAATCTACGATACAATCGTGCTAAGCCAATGAGTGATTTAATATCGCTAATACAAGTTGAACACACGTAACGCATATATAGCACCACAATCTAATAATATTCGTGCGATTTTCCAATTAATTGTGCCGTTGTATATGATTAATCGAGCATCAGCACTTTCAATTTTATTTAGCATTTTCAACATCTTATCATCTGTTGGTGATTCAATTTTATCATCAATTAATGTTGAATTAATTATTTCATGTTGTACTGTTTCATTATTTTTAAAATATATCCTTAGAACGTATATACCATTAGAACGATTACTAGAACTTCAGCTCGGCCAATTTATTAGAAAATCACAATTTTTAAAGGCTTGAGTAGGAGAAAAGGAAAAAGGAAACATTCCTAAGAAATTGGCTCGCCTGAAGTGATCAGTTGATTACTTAGGTTTGCTGCGTATTTGACACTCCCGGACCAGACCGGAAGGAGACCGGCATGTCCCTGGGCAAATCGAGCTCCGTCAGAACGATGATATGTGGAGACCTTAAACTTGCGTAGATTTGTAGAACCAGTCCCCTATCAACCACCTATGGAAAAAATCAGTAAATCTATATACTAGTTTCTGTAAATCTGAGCTTGTTTTACAAAGATCGTCTTCAAACCAGATTTCTCAATTGTTCCAAGACTAACTTTTGCTTGCAAAAAGATTTGCCAAGATCCTGTCTACACAGTAATAAAAAAACGCAGGTAGCTGTCTCTCTCCTATCAAACGTTATTCGGAAAAAGGCAGAGTGCACGGCATTTTAAAACAGATAGTAGAAGATTTTATTAGTGAACAAGAAAATGGAATCAAATTGTATTTAAAGTGGTCTTTTAACTAAGACATTAGAATCTCAAATATTAGAAACTCAAGACAGTAGCGATCACAACTAAATCATATCACCTGCTTATCACCCAATACGTTTCCCCCAAACACACCGAAATAACACTACACTCCAACAAACTAATCACACATCCAAAAAACAACCACGCACGACAGCACAAGCAGTGCCCCTCTCCAAGCCCTACAAACGTAACGCTCCGAATCCAACCAACAGTCCAATGAACCATGATCCAATTCATGAACGATCCAGATCATCATACTATGCATCTATCTCCCACACGTTCCATGACACCAGATGCCATAGCACTTTCGTCACAGAAATGCTCAGATAACGACGACCATGTGACCAACAACTGACTCAGTGACAATCCAGTCACTGCAGAATGCAAATCACAAAACTGTTCATCTATCATATACCTTCCCCATGACATCATACGACACTTCACTTTCGTCACGGCCATACTCATGTGATGATGGCGAAGTGACTAACAACTGAATCAATGATGATGCAGCTAGCAAAGAATGCCAACCATCACGAAACTGTTCATCTATCACCTAGATGCTCCATGGCACCGGATGACGTTTCACCTTCCTCCCAACAACACATCCGACGACGACGAGGTCACCAACAACTGAATCAATGACGATGCAGCTGGTGAAGAATACCAACCAACAGACCAATCACTTATCCCCAAGACGTGCTATGCCAGCCACATCACACTTCACTTACGTCACAACGATGCTCATGTGACGACGACGAGGTCACCAACAACTGAATCAATGACGATGCAGCTAGTGAAGAATACCAACCAACAGACCAATCACTTATCCCCAAGACATGCTATGCCAGCCACATCACACTTCACTTACGTCACAACGATGCTCATGTGACGACGACGAGGTCACCAACAACTGAATCAATGACGATGCAGCTAGTGAAGAATACCAACCAACAGACCAATCACTTATCCCCAAGACGTGCTATGCCAGCCACATGACACTTCACTTACGTCACAACGATGCTCATGTGACGACGACGAGGTCACCAACAACTGAATCCATGATGATGCACCAAGTGAAGAATATCAACGAGCACCAGACTATCCATCTATCTACTAGATGTTTCAAGGCACCAGATGGCATTCCACTTTCACCGCAACACCACTCATATACCCACCACAAGGTTATCAACAACTCAATCAATAATGATGCACCTAGTGAAGAATACCCACCATCAGACTATTCATCTATCTCCTACATATTCCCACACAACAGACCACATTTCACTTTCGTCACAGCAATGCTCATGTGACAATGACGAGGTCACAAACAATTGAATCCATGACGATGCGCCCAGCGAACAACACCAACCATCACAACGTTCATCTAGCTCCTAGATGTTCCATGGCACCAGTTGATCTTTCGGTTTCGTCACATCCATGTTCAACCAACGACGAGGAGTTCCCCAACAACCGAATCAATAATGACGCAACTAGTAAAAAATACCAATTACTAGACTATTCATCTATCTTCCAGATGTTCCAAAGCACCAGATGACATTCCGCTTTCGTCACAACACCGCTCAAAAGACGACCGCAAGGTCACCAACAACTCAATCAGTAGTGGTGTAGTTAATGAAGAATATCCAACAGCAGACTATTCATCTATCTTCTAGATGTCAAATCGCACCACATGGGATGTCAATTTCGCCACAGCAATCATCACGTGACGACGAAAAGGCCCCCAACCACTGAATCAATGATGATGCAGCTAGCGAAGGATACGAACCAGCAGACTATTTATCTACCTCCTAGACGTTCCAAGGCAGCCAGATGCCACTTCACTTGCGTCACAGGAATGCTCATGTGACGACGGCTCGGTCACCAACAACTAAATCCATAAAGATGCAGCTAGTGAACAATGCAAATAACGAAAGTGTTCATCTATCTCTTTCACATTCCAAGGCAACAGATGACATTTCGCTTTCATCATAGCGATGCTCAAGTGACGCCGACGCGGTCACCAACAACTCAATCCATGATAAAGCACCTAGTGCAAAATAACAAAAATGAAACTATTCATCTATCCCCTCGACGTTCCAACGCACGAGACAACGTTTCAGTCTGCTCACAGCAATGCTCGAGCGACGACGCCGAGGTCACGAATAACTCAATCATTAATGAAGCAGCTAGGGAAGAATACCAAGTAGTAGCGGGCTGTTCATCTGATCCTAGATGTTTCATGACACCAGATGACATTTGACTTTCGTCACAATAATGTTCATTTGACCATGACGAGCTCACCAACAACTGAATCAATGATGCTGCAGCTAGTGAACAATGCCAACGAGCACCAGACTATTCATCTGTCTCCGAGATGTTTCATGGCACCGGATGACATTTGACTTTCATCACAACAATGGTCATGTGACGACCACGGAGTGAAGAACAACCGAGTCAATGATGATGCAGCTACTGAAAAATGCAAATCATCAAACCGTCCACCTATCCCCGAGATGTCCGAAGGCAACAGCTGACCTTTTCCTTTCGTCACAGGAATGCTCATGTGACGACAACCAGTTCAACAACAACTGATTCACTGACGATGCAGGTAGTGAAGAATAGAAAGCATCAGAGCGTTCATCTCGCTCCTAGATGTTCCATGGCACCAGTTGACATTTCCATTTCCTCACAACAATACTCATGTGACGACCACGAGGTCACCAACGACTGCATCAATATTGATTCAGCTCCTGAAGAATGCCCATTAGCAGACTAGTCATTTATCTCCTAGACGTTCCAAGGCACCAGATAATATTCCACTTTCGTTACAACTTGCTCACATGCCGACGACTAGGTGGGCAACAACTGAATCAATAATTATGCAGGTAGTGAAGAATGCCAAAGATTATACTATTCCTTTAGCTCATTGATCGGACATGGCACAAGATGACATCTCACTTTCGCCACACTAATGCTTATACGACGACGAAGAGATTACGAACAACTCTATCAATACTGATGCAACTAGTGAAGAACGACAATTACCAGACTGTTCATCTAATTCCTCGATGTTTCACTGCACCAGATGACATTGCATTTCCGTCACAACACTGTTCATATGTCGACGACGAGGTACCCAATATCTGAATTAATAGTGATACAGCTAGTGAAGAATGCCAAAGATTACACTATTCATCTCACTCCTCGATGTTCCATGGCAGCAGATTACATTTCACTTTTCGCGCAGCCATTCTCGTATGACGCGGATGAGGTCACCAACAACAGAATCCCAAATGTTGGAACTGATGAAGAATGCGAAAGATTACACTATTCATCTATCTCCTAGATTCATCTGTCTCCTAGACCACAGCAGAAGATGAGATTTCACATTCGTCTTAGCAATGCTCATGCGCCGACGGCGAGGTCAATAACAAAGGAGTAAATGATGATGCAGCTAGTGAAGACCACCAACGAGCAGGCTATTCATCTATGTCCTAGATGTTCCAAGACACAAGATGTCATTTCACTTTCCCCAGAACAATGTGACAATGAGCTCACAACGAACAGCATCATTGATGATGCAGCTAGTGAAGCATGTCAAAGATTGTACTGTTCAGGTATCTCCTAGATGTTCCAACGCATAAGATGCCATTTCACATTCCCCACAACAATGTGATGACGAGGTCACCAACAACTGATTCCATGATGATGCAGCTAGTGAAGAAAACCAATGAGTAGGCGGTTCATCTATGTTCTAGATGTACCATGGTGTCGGGCGACCTTTCGCTTTACTGATGCTGATACACATGTGACGACGACGCGGTCACCGACAACTGAATCAATGATGATATAGCTAGTGGCGAACACGCAGTAGTAGACTATTCATCTATCTCTAAGATGTTCCATGGCACCAGATGACATTTCACTTTCGCCACAGCAATTCCCATATGACAACGACGAGGTGAATAACAACCGACTAAACAAAGATGCAGCTGGTGAAGACTGCAAATCACGAAACCGTCTATGTATATCCTAGACATGCCACGGCACCGCATGACATTTTACCTTCGTTACCGCAATGGTCAAGTGATGACGACGAGGTGAACAAGACCTCAATCTATAATAATGCAACCAGTGAAGAATACCAAAGATGGTAGTATTCGTTTATCTCCGAGATTTTGCGTGGTGGCAGATGACATTTGACTTTGATCACAACAATGCTCAGCTGACGACGACGAGGTCATCGGCAACCGAGTCAGTGATGATTTGGCTACCGAATAATACGAATCAGCATCACGAAACTGTCTATTTTTCTCCTAGATGTTCCCGGATGCCAGATGGTATTTCAGTTTCGTCACAACAATGGTCATGTGACGACGACCAGGTGAGCAACAACTGCATCAGTGATGATGCAGCTAATGAAGAGCACCAATGAGCAGAACGTTCATCTAGCTGCCAGATGTTCAATAGCACCAGTTGACATTCACTTTCTTCACAACATTACTCATGTGACACCCACGATGTGACCAACAACTGAATCAACGATGCTGCTGCTCGTGAAGAGCATCAATGAGCAGACTGTTCATCTAGCTGCCAGATGCTCAATGGCACCAGTTCACATTCTCTTTCCTCACAACAATACTCATGTGACAACCACGAGGTGGCTAACAACTGAATCAGTGATGCTGCTGGTAGTGAAGAACACCAACGAGCAGACTATTCATCTATCTCCCAGATGTTCCCATGTACCACATGGCATTTCACCTTTGACACAGCAGTGCTCATGTGACGATGACGAGGTCACCAAGAACGAGTCAATGATAATGCAGCTGTTGGAGAATACCAACGACTACCAAGAGCAGCAGACAGCTCATCTATCTCCTAGATGTTCGACGGCACCAGATGATACTTCACGTTCATCGCAGCAATGTTCATTTGACGACGACGACTTCACCAGCAATTGATTCAATGATAATGCAGCTGTTGAAGAATACTAACGACCATAAGCAGACTATTCATCTCGCTCCTAGATGTTCTGTGGCACCAGATGACATTTCGGTTTCCTCGCAGCAATGCGCATGTAACGACGGCGAGGTTGCCAACAAGTGTGTCTATAATGATGGAGCTAGTGAAGAGTGCCAAAGATTATGATATTCATCTATGTCCTCGATGTTTCATGGCAGAAGATAATATTTGGGTTTCATCAGAGCAATGCTCGCGTGACGACAACGAGGTCGCCGAGAACGGAGTGTGTAATGATGCAACTAGTGAAGACTACCAAAGAAGATTTGACTATTCATCTAGCTCCTCGATGTTGCTGGGCACAAGAGGACATTTCACGTTTGTCAGAGCAATGCTCATGTGACGACGACGTGAGCACCAATAGCTGAATGAGTGGTGATGCAGCTAGTGAAGAACACCCAGCAGAAGACTATTCATCTATCTCCTAGATGTTCCATGGGACTGGATAACATTTCACTTGCCGCAGAGCGATGCTCATGTGACGACGACGAGGTCAACAACGACTGAGTCAGTGATGCAAGAGCTGATGAAGAGTGCAAATCATCAATATTGTAGTGTTCATGGATCTTCTAGATGTTCAATTGCGCCAGGTGACATTTTACTTCCGTCATAATAATGGTTTTCTGACGACGACGCGGTCGCCATCAACTGAATCATTGTGGATGCAGCTGCTGAATAATGCAAATAACGAAAGTGTTCTTCTATCTTCTAGATATTCCATGGCAGTAGATGACATTTCAGTTTGAGCGGAGCAGTGCTTGTCTCTCGCCAGTGAGATTGGCATCACTGATTTGAATTATGATGGGTCGGATGTATGGTTATAATTTCGTAGTTTCAAGTAAATATAGGTTTGGGTAGGTGTCTTCTTGAGTTTTTTTATTTTAAATACTGTTGCTGGAGGAAGTAGGACTTCATCTTCGTCGTAATTTGAAAATGGCGATATGTCTAATCCACCGTTGTTGGTCGCGTTGATAATGAATAAGGTATTGCCAAAGTTTTGAGCTTTTTGACGGTTTCTGGTGGTTGAGGTAAAGCCGTTCCAGTATCTTTCGCGGCCAGTCGCTTCCTTATACGATTCAAGCATGTTCTGATCGATATTTGCTCCTCGGTAGAGTTCCGGTGAATGTTTCGTATCAGCTTTTAGCCAGCTTCTGAATAAAATGTAGCAAAATGGACCAAGAGTGTTTGCTTTGCTCGTATCGTCTTCGCCGATTGCTTTATTTATTAGTTTGTATAGAAAGCATTCCATTGTGTATAGCTGAATGCAGCACTTATAAATTTCCTGTTGGCCCTTGTTTTCCACGGCTATTAGTTGGCGGGCTATATATTGTGATTCACACTCGTGGCCTAGTTTTTTTCCTTCGATAATTATGCCATCCGCTGCCTGCTTCACTATTTCAGTATCAGAAAGTTTCTTGTGTTTCTTCCACTGTGAAAGAAAAGTATAAGCGTCTCTGCTCCAGTCTGTATTGAATGTTTTACTCAATACTGGTGGAAGAAAGAATCTTTCTTCTCTCAAACCTTGATTTTCATGTCTACTAATTAGAACTCGTTTTATTTGCTGTTGGTTATTTGGATCCGATTGGCTGATTTGAATGGAATCGTTTAAGTTAATCGAATAGTTATCCAGTTCAATTAGTTTTGTTTTATTGTTTCCATTAAATGCTTCTTCGATAATTGCTGATTCGATATCAGAATATTTTGTCCATTCTTCTTTTTCATTTGTTGACGATGGATCAAAACTCGATTTCCAATACCATTGAGCTCGTAGTTGATCAGCTGCTTTTATCGCTCGACTTGCCATTGATTAGACTGTTTGGAACTGATGGGTTCTAGAAACGTCCGTGGTCCTAGAAAATACTGAACCAATACTTCCTATGCAGCAAGTAGAGGCACCTAATGACTGCATGGTGAAAATAAAACCGTGGAAAAAATCTTGAACTGATAAATTGTGGGGAAATGCAAGAGGTAAACAGCTGATTGAAATCAGCCCAAAATCAGTCATTTTCAGCGATCCTCTGTGATTTCCAATGACTTCCAGTCATTTCCGGTGACTTTTCATTTGGTGAAAATCGGTGAAATCGGAAAAATCCAAAAATCAGCGGTTCCCCCCTTGGGAAAAGTCTGGTAAAACGCAGTAAAAGTGTAGGGCAAAAGTATGGTAAAAAAAGGCGTTAGCTGAAGACTATGAAGCAAACAATGTCAAAAAAAAGCAAAGAAAGAACGGGAAATATACCGAGAAAAAAACTGTGCGGAAAAATAATGCAGGAAAATACTATGCATACAGAAAAACAAATGGAAAAGAAACTGTGATACAAACAACGTGTAATCGAAATGAAGACAGAGCCACATGTATATAAAAACATCATTTTTTGTCTATTTTTTTGTTATTGTGGGAGTTGTAGTGCTGAATTTGGTTGGTTGTGCACTTTGTCTATCACTTGGTTTATTGATTATATACCTATGGGTAACAACCCTGGTAAGCAAACAATTTCTGAAGACGACCGTCGTGACTGGTCCGAAATGTCCGCATATTCCGTCAAAACTAGTCTGGAACGTCCCTTTCGCTCGTCATGACTAGTCCAGTTTTTAGTAAATGTTCGTTTAACCCGTCTAAACTCTAAAGTTATAACCGTCAAGTATCTGTGAGGGACTAAAGTCAACAAGCACTTTCTGATTAGTCTTTTTGGAAAATAATGTACGATAGAGCCAGATAGAGCATGTACGGAAATCCTCGTCACAATCTGGACTTCTGGTAGCCTCTAGAAGAGTAGAAAATACTGAACTGTGTAGTATTTTTGAGTCTAAACATAAATTCGATATCAAAGCTGCTTCTTTATGAAATATGAGATTAAGATTTTGACGACGATTTCTGGAAAAGCGACCCCAACAATTTGTTCGATCGACTTTGGAACTTGGCGACGTTTGTAGAGCTACTAGAATAGCATCTAAGATAAATAATCTCGAAAAGTTCACATGTAATTTTCATGGGGACAGCTCACAAAGTTCAAAAGTAGATCTCGAATGCCGGGTTATTGGAACTAAATGGTAAGTTTTTTCGAGCTTGTTCTTGTAGCATTCAGTCAAGTTTCAGTGGTGCTTTCTTGTCATCTTAAAGTAAAACTGTTTCTCTTAACCTTTCGATGAAGTTTTCTCGAATTAAAAAATGTAATTTTGGCCAGTATCGGTTAAATTTTTCATGGCAGAGCTTTGTATAAAAAATGATAAGGAAAAATAAAATTTTTGGTGGAACATATGCAACCTTTTGTGCTCACTTCGATCATGACTGTTAGAAAAATTCAGATGTAGTGGTTAGATTGGTATTTAGGTACTCAGAGGCCCTTGAAAACAAGTAAAGTCGTCTTTTGTGAGCTATGGACAATTAATAGGTAGCGTTCCTAGATGTTTATGACTATCAGCAAATCGTAAAGTAGAAGCAAATCTTGAACTATCTTCAATATTGTCCATGATGTAACTAATTTACCTCTTTTTGGAAGTAATACGAGTTCTATTACATCACCCAATCTACTTCAATATTAGATAGTACTATTGATGATGTGTTAGATGCGTATCTTTTTAAAGAAACTATTACCATACTCTGTACACTGGAAAAAAACAGGTGCCATACGGAACCAAAGAGGGTTTCGTGCACGCAAAAAGAGTTTCGTACACGCTACAGAACTTAAAAAAGGTTTCGAAAATTGCAACGAATTCGAAATAAATCTTTTGAAAGTTTCGTAGGAAATCCACGAAACCTTGAAAAAAGTTTTCTAGACCGTCGACAAATCTTTTGCAAGCTTTTTCATATTCCTACGAAACCTTAAAAAGGTTTCGAATTTGTTACAATTTAAGTTCCATATGGCACCTTTTTTGTTTCAGTGTATGATGAATCTATATACCATTTGTGTGATCATTGTTTGTTGTTTAGCACAACAAACAATGACCATACGCTGATCGACTTGAATCTTCTATAAAGAGTATGTGGCGGTTAAAAGATAAACTTCAGAATCAAAAAATCCTTGATTTAAAATTCCTTGAATCAAAAGCTTGAAATCCAACAAACTGTATGACCAGCTATTATTCCCTTAGACACAAAAGTAAATTGTATGAATAAGTTTTGTGATAAACTTTCAATGGCCACAGTTCGTCAAACCGTATGTGCAGCTTGTAATACGAGTAATTACGATTATACAATGCGACATTTCTCAATCTCAACTATCCTAATAAACATTCATTGAAACCACATCTTGATCTTTTAAATACATATACCAGCAAAAATAGTTATCTAACAGTCGCTATAGGCTCAAATTATCCCGATGATTATTTTTATTAATAGAAAGCGATGGTGGTGATTGTGATATATATGTTAATAATAGTCTTTTAGTTGTTACTTTTAATGAAGTGGATGCAGAATTATGTCTCACTGAACGAAAGATGTTATATTCAATATCCTATATTAGTACAATGTATGTTGTCAATACAATATACAAGTGCAGTATTTGAATGGGCATAGCATCATTGATTTAAAGCCATATTTTAATTTTTACAGAATAGGAGAACATATTTTCAATGTACACTGTTACTATAACTTGTAAAGATGATATAATTGTGAATCTACTGACTCTGTTAGTTTCTGTGAATATATATAATTATTTTTATCAGTTCTACAAACTTTAGACGTAAACATAATTCTTTTCGTTCAGAGAAGCTTGAGTAAGAAAACATAATATCTCCGTTTACATTATCTATAGTCATAGATGTACAAATGTATCAATTCTACTCTATTACATATCATCGGTAGTGTTCATTCCTCAGCTAACTTATGTTTAACGTCGTCTTATTGAAAAAGGACTCATCTGTGACTTTATAATCTGATTCTGGTATAGTTAGAGAGCCTCTTATATCTACGTAATATGTGTACCGCTCATTATTTTTCCGTCCTTATCCATATCATGTCAAGGGACAGTGTGATGCACAAAGTGCTTCATGTTATCTTGTTTTGTTTCATAGTCTTAATAAAAAATTTCGTATGTGGTTTATTTGAAACAAATATGTACTATCAGTCACTTTTCATTAAAAAAATTCTGCGTTCTCATTTTCAATTTTTTTTCGTTCTTTATCTCATTCTATATTCTACGTCTAAAATTTGTTTTTGACTTGTTTCGATATTAAAATTTGTGAAATATGATATGATATCGACTATTTTATTTTTATTTAGTTGCTGTTGTTAAATGAAGTAGATATAAAAGAAAAGTAAAAGTTAAAAAAAAAAAATATTTGAGTTCGATTATTATGTAGGTGATCACGTGTAAAATAAAATATATTCACCCGTTATCTTATACCAGTATGTCAACTATTCAAAGGAACGTTTCGACTCTTCTCAGAGTTATCGTCAAAGAAAAATATACATTATTGTACTTTACATATGAAACATTATAAAAAGGAGGAACAAAAAGTTCTTTATATAGTGTGCGTTACTGGTAAACAGAATTACTCATACTTATAGTCTTGTTATTTCTACTCTTATATCGTACACTTTATAACTCTGACCGACCCTTCGCTTTTTCATTTGCTACATCTGACAAAATAAAACACTTCTAAATAAAAATATTCTGATTTGACCAGTTAATAGACGAGATCAACGAAAGTCTTAGAAACTAACAAACAATTTCCACCGAGTTATGTAGATTTCAGTTTTTTATATCGTTAAAATAAGGCTGACTGAGGTATTTTTCCCTATAAAATAAGGCTGACTGAGGTATTTTTCCCTATAAAATAAATATAACTCGGTGGAAATTGTTTGCTAGTTTCCGAGACTTTCATTGATCTCGTCTATTAACTGGTCAAATCAGAATATTTTCATCTAGAAGTATAGATCAATTGATCAGCGATTTCTATAGAATGATACTAGAAAGTCATATATAAGCAAAACGAAATATCCAATTCGTGATCATCATAAAAAATAAACTCTAAAAATCTATGTTTTATCAAAATTGGAGAAAATCATCTGGAAAGGTTCCTCTCGTTAGTCAAACCTGTGATTGGAAGACGTCATTTTTCTTTTCAAATTCAATACATATATATTCAGCACTTTTTTAAAATACACTGTCTATTATTTTATTTCAAACTTCGAAGATAAATGTGACATTTTAAAAGCAGAGCATACAAGTTTGAAAAGAATAAAAACTATATTCTATAACGCACTATTATTACAAATTTTCTACTGTTAATTAGCATTAAAACAAACGAACAAAATTTTTAGTTTTTGTCATAATTACAATATAATAAATAAAACTTCATGTAGAAAATAAAACAAATCATCTATAGATTCTTATGTCAAAACAAAATGACCATTACAAATATAAACGCTTTTCAAGCAAAATAGAAAAGAAATTAAGCATACACAAAAATAGCACTTTGTACTGGTAAATATAAAAATCGATTCCTTCAGTATTTTGCACATTAATTTTTGATATATGAAAAAAAGAAAATCGTATGCATAATGTATAAAAATTGAATATTTAAATTCGATGTTATATTCAGGAATGTATTCTCGTTCAAATATAATAGCACATCAATTCACAGTTATAGATGTCTAATAATTGCAAAACTAATCAAAGCAAGAAATAAAATGCAGAAAATGGTAACTCATCGTTCTCATTTTTTAAACAATCTTTTTATTTTATTTCGATAATAAGCCTAATGATATTGTATCAAAATGATAAAAATACAGTGTGTGTATATAAAAATTCGACTAAACATTATGAAAAAGCAATATTCTAACAACAAAACAAAATATGGATTATGTCTAACTAGTAAAACACACACACACACAACACACAAATATCACAATTAAAAGTAGTAAAACAGCAACATAAAAAAAAACACAAATTTTTCAAGAAGAAAGCATGAGTATTTGTCATTAGTTATTTTTTTTAAAATAAAAAGAGCGAATGTAAGAGATCCCATTAAACAAAATAAGAGGCACCATGACAATAATTTGTTCGATAAAAATGAGTAATATTATTAAAAGTAAAAGATCAGATAAAGAATAGAATATTTTATTTTCTCTCGCTTATTTATTCTTATTAACCATTTAGGTTATATTTTATTGGTGTTAGAATATTGTAGACTATATGAAATATTGTCTCGCCGGGAAATTTAGCACATGAAAAAAAAACTGCATACTCATTACACACACATTCTAACCAACCAACTCAACACACACACACACACACACATACACACATAAAATAGAAAAGATAAACGTTATTATTATTATTGTTGTTTCTATCGTTGATAATACATATAAAAAAATGTTTCTTCATTTAAATTTAATTTTTCTATTATTGAACGTTTATAAGATATCATATTATTTTTAATTATTAATCGACATTTTTCTTTTAATAAAAATGGATTTCTTGCACGCCAAGTTAAATACATATCAATTGGTTGCATTTGTGTAACATGTTGACATTCAAGTAATTTTAAAATAACATTATTATCTGTTAATACAAGATGACCCATTAGAATTAAATTTTCATAAAAACGTATAATATATTCATATATTTGATTTATACCTTCGCCTAAATTAAATAATAACAAACAAATAATATAAAAAGATTTAAGAGAAAAATGAAAAAAATAACAATAATAAGAAATAAATTTTTTATTCTAACCTGTATTTTCCATACTTGTGTATATTGCACGAAAATAAGAGTCTAATAAATCTAAATATTGTGAAAAATCAAAAGTATCATGATATTTTAGAATAATAAATAATAATGATGTTCTTAAATAAAGTATTTGTATTCTATCATCACTAATTGTTAAAAATTGTGCTTGTAATACATGTAAAAAACGTTTTAATAAATCACCAATATCATACATTTTTAATTTTGCTGCTGGTATTGCTTCTAAAATTGCTTCTAAAACATCAAATGATTTATCTGATTGTATTTTATTTTTTAACATTAAATTATTTAATACGGCAAATATAAAATCAGCATTTAATTCTTCCCAAACATTTGGTACAAATATTTTTAATGCATCAATTTGATCATTAATTAAACATTGTCGTAAAATATCACCTTTCTTTTGTAATAACATATTTTCATTTGATTGTGATGGTTTATTTAATTTTAAATTTTCAATAAATTTATTTAATATTTTATTACGATTTAAACGTATAGCATCTTGTATTGGTGATTTTTCAAATTCATTATTTTCATTTAATACTTCACTACCATAATCAACTAATAAAATGGCAATATCTTCAAAACCATATTTAACGGCTAATGATAATGGACTATCACCATAATATAAATTCGTTCGAGATAAACGATGATTACCACGTGTTGTGATTAAATTTAATTCACGTTTTATATGAACATTGGTATTATGTTCTAATAAATATTTTACAATATCATAATGACCCTTATGACTAAAATAGAGAAGATAATAATTAAATTTTTCATATTTAAAAAATAAATCTAAAATTATCACCTTACCTAGCTATACACAATGGATAATCGTTATTATACGGTTCATTTACATTTACATGTTTATCTTCGACACATCTCTTCACTAAATCAATATGATTGTATTTACATGCATTATAAAATAATTCATTGAGATTTTCTGTTGAATTTAGAGCATCATCAATTGTTAAACCCAAAAAAAATGCATTTTCAAGTGTTCCCGTTGTCGATTGTGTTGATGATGTTGAATTTGTTGTTATTGGTATTGAAGATGACATATTTCCATTAGATGTTGTATTAGAAAAAGAAGAATTTGTATCTTTTGCATTTATCGTTGATGTCATTGCGGATGGTACTTTCTTTTCTCTCATACGTACTTTTGTTTGTTCTGCGCCTTCACTATTTATATTCATAGTTGAATGAGATAATAGCAATAATAATGATATGCGTCGTATATGCGTATATGTGTGTATCAGGTGTGATAAGCAAAAATCATATTGGCTACAAAATCATCTTGAGTAATAAGATCGAATGCGTATAGATAGAAGAATATGATATAGTTTTTTGAATACAAGAAAGTTGCAACAAACCTTTACCTAAAAAGAAGCGTTTGCTGTGTTACTCACATACATAAATCATCTGAAAGAGAGAGAGAGAAGAAAAAAAAAGAAGAAAAACTCGAATGTATATATGAGTAATAAAAAATAAGACGAGATAAAAAAAAATGTTTATAACAGAGCAAATGGAGACACGAAAAATGGAGAAGAAAGATAAAATTTTGTATTTATCATACAAATGATTATAAAACAATTTTGGAATTTTTTAGAATATCTTTATTTCCATAATAGGAATTTATATTTTCGTTTATTTTTTTTTATTCTAATTCAAGTAAAATTAAAGTTTAAATCAAATAAAGACCTTTTTTCATCATTCTTCTCTTATGAAATAAATTTTAGATAAGATTTATAAATAGAGATTTTTTATTTTTATTTTATACTTTAAACAATTGTAACTCAATCAATAAAAAATGTTTTTTTTCGGTTGATTTCAAGTTCTGTCAATCAAATTTGAAATATGTAGACGAATCTATTCTATTGTACTATCGGGGCAAAAAAAAAAAATGACAATAAGTGACAAAATGTTTAATATAATAATAGATTGAATGAATAACATCCCTTTAACACTTTACCGTCTTCTCTTTTTATCAAATAGCCATGCTTATTATAACATACAATCATACATAATGACATTCTTTAGAAAAATTATTCAGTTCTTTTAAGTACGACGATCTTTTTTTCTATGTGAAACATATGTATTAACGAAAATATCGAATTTGTCTACAACTTACCCATCATCATCATCATCGCAGAAAGATGCGAACAGCTGTTGAAGAGAACAAAAAAAAAAAAAAAAATCAAAAAAACAACAAAATATCGATTGTAGAACAATTGATTATTATAATGAAAGAAAACAAATTTTCTTCGTTTTTCTTCTCAATTAAAGAATGGCATATAGTCTCTCAAAAGACGATTGAAAAAAAGAAAGAAAAAAAAGATTTGTCCTAGAAAAACAATGAAAATATTCTAATAAATATCGTACAAAAATAGGGGTTTCAATTTCTCTCGTCTCTTTCCTCATTTACGACGATATAATCATGATTGATATTTTGTGATAAACAGACAATGAAAATACATATATTCACTAGATATGTAATAAATAGAATCAACATATTTTAACTAAAAATTCTATGTTAACACTTTACTGTTATTCATAAACATTCCATGAAAAAAAAAAAAAGAAGAGAAAGATACTAACTATTGTTCAAGATTTCTATGTATTGGACATACATAAAAACAAGAAGCAAAAAAAAAATATATATATATGTTATTATAAATCAATGCACACTCTTTTATTCATCAAAAGTCAGAATGTAAACAAACAGATGGAATTTACATATTAAGATAATTTATTCGTAGTTATAACCATTTTTACACTGTAAAATCTATTGGACACAATCTTAATTAATTAATAGTCTTTCTGAAGCATGTAAATGGAAAACGATATAGTATTGATAGTTGTTGAAAAACAATTAGAAATGTATACAATAACGTCAATCATAAACATAAAAAAAAAAAGTATTACTATTTTCTCACCACATAAAATGAATATACATGGAAGAATGGCTAGTTTCTTGTTCGATAAAATAGGACAACAAAGGCATAGACGATTTGATCTTTTTTTATAAACGGAAAAAAAAATTTCTTAAAAAATCAAGTTTCAAACGTATAAATTTTCGTCTTCTACAGATGTGTATATATATCAACGATTGCGGTTTTCTTTTTTCTCTCTTATTATAATTTATTTGTGTATATATTCTTTTTATTGTCAAATACTTGGCATTTAATTTTTTCCTCTCAAGAACTTCTTTATTTGATTCTTTTTTTTTTTTTTTTTTCATTAAAAATCTTCTCCATTGTAATTATAAATCTTTCAATAAAAGAGAAAAACCAACAATTCGAGACATACAGTTAAATAGAACAATCGATGAAACATATAGTTACCTGGTTTGCCAGATGAAAAAGAAAAAATAATAAGATGAAAGAGAAGAAAGAATCATACTGTACAACATTTTTTTCTGCCTTATTTCTTTTTTTTCTTTCTGCTTTAGTTCTATTTGAACTGTATATAAATATCCAATCTCTAGTTAAATTGTAGGTGTTAAATAGAAACTGAATTTCTATTGACAGAAAGAATGCAATTGAGGATTATATTGACAAACTGGTAGTCGACCTTTGCTCTTTTACATGAAATATCTCAAACATAAAATGCTACATTATCACAAAGTAATATATATATATATATCTAAAGGATATTTGAATATAATACAATTCGTTCATATTTCTTCGAGATGTTGAATAAGTTAAAAAAAATATAATCAACTTGATTTTCTCTCTATCAAATAAAGAATTGAATCATTTTCATAATGGAATTAGAAATACGTGCCATTATCAGTTTATTTTCAATTTTTTCATATAAAGATTACTACTGGCTATTCAAATAAGGCATATTCACGTGTACTATTAATAATTGATAAATGGACTGTGAAATTAAAAATTTCCGCTCATTAGAGAAAATAAACTTTTATATATAACATATCCTTGTATTTTCTTTCTCGAGGATATCTACTAAAGGATTACTATAGGACAAAAAAATAGAGTATATACAAAAGATTTTTTCTTTTTCTTTCTTTGAAGTAAATCAAATATATAATGTTCCACGAATAGTTACGGGATTAAAGACGAGACATTTTGAACTTTTTTTGACTTTATTTATTCATCTCAATGTTTACTCAATAAATCAACTCTATTATATTTATATATATATATGAGTAGAATATGTTAACAGAATACAAATTAATGTGTGAGTAATACGTGGTAAAGAAGAGAGAAACAAAAATGTCATTGTATGCACAATTGTTTTCTGCCTTAAACGTCTCAACTGAGATACAAATTATATCCTCAACTAAGATACAATCTATATTTTAATCAAGTATCTCAGTTGAGAAACTATTATTCGTTTAACAACTGAGATACATTTGATAAAATGTGGATTTCGCGAAATTTTCAACTAAGATACAATTTTAAAACGTGGAATTGTGCAAGAATGCACTCTTTCACAATTGCACATGCGCAAATACGAATCAAACTGGTGTGTTTTTTTCTACGTGTGCAAAAGTCTTTCTATATTCGCAGGTGTGTACATTTTGCCAGTGTGCTTCTGGCACATCACACCGTGCATTTCTAGATGTACAAATGCGAATTAAAGTGATGTGCAAGTTCAGTGTGTTTTGGACACACTTTATTTTTTACAGTGTACAAAGGTCTATTATTCAATAGTTCTACAAAATCTACAAGAATTTGAGCGACTTTCACGCCATTTTGCATACTTAGATAGTCAGGAGAGATACATCATATATCTAATTTCATTTCATTCACTATTGAATAATAGACCTTTGTACACTGTAGTCTTGCACAAATGCACGTTTCAAAAATCTTAGTTGAAAAATTCGCGAAGTCCATATTTTATCAAACGTATCCCAGTTGAGAAACGAATATTTTCGCAGAAATAATGGTTTCTCAACTGAGATACTTGATTAAAATATGGATTGTATCTCAGTTGAGTACAAACCGTTTTAACACAAAATATTGTACGAAAGTAATTCGAACATAAGAATGATTGTCAAGAAACTCTCTTTTTATTTTTCATCTATGTTTAACCGATTTCTTACGATTAAAGCGCGTTAAACATAATTTATTCAAAAATCTAAAGAATCATAAATCGGAAATGATTGAATCTGGCGGAAAAAAACTGAAAATGTGATAAATTGACTCTTGAAATCAGGGACGTCCCGAGACCATGAAGGCAGGGGGATTCAATCAAATCCGAAGCCAAATACCACATTTCCATATCAATGTAATTCATTTTTAAATCGAAGCAAAGATTTTTCAAAATTAGAGTCGCTGACTTTTTTTTTTATGAGGAGCACAGTGGACGCTTTTCTAATAGCAGGCGAATATCAAAATTTTTTGCTCGTAAACCTTTTCTTTCATGAATAATTGTTATTGCTCAATCATCTCTGATGCTTTTCAAGGAAAAATCAGAGTTTTCAAAAAAATTCACTTTTTCTCGAATAATTGATCTTGCTGGTTCATCGGAAAAAGTCTGGATGAATAGTTATTCAACCCACAACTTATTGTTTTATATATGGTTCGATTGCAACTCGACGCGTTACTTCCGAATATGATTTTATTTTTGCTTAAAAATGTTCCTAGATTGAGAAAAATAAATTTTACCTGAAAAAGCAGGGTTTTTCAGAACCCCTCTAGCAAGAGCTAGGAAAAGAGTGGCAGTGAGTTGCATGCATTTGTATACAGACGAAGATTTTGATAAAGTTTGGCGAAGATTGAAGCCCTGAAAAATTATGGAAACTCTTTCCAATGGTCACATGTATACGGAAACTTAGTTAACCCGGAAAATAAATTTGTTCTATAAGTCTAAACTGAGAAATTTTTCCGTTAATCTAGCCAAAAAAGGGCCTAGATTCATAATCTATGTCGTTTTTATTTTGAACTTGATTGGCTTTAATGAAAAATTTATTTTAGCATTCTAATTGTGCTAATTTTTACCAAAGTATTTTCTCACGATCCTTAGCAGTTAGAACAAAACTTCTTTTCGGAATATATGACCCATATTTTCAGCTATAGTTTTCTATACTCAGATCGGAATACACAGCACGACAATTTTTTTGCTAAATGCTCGCCTCGATGCACACTGTGAAGAGATGGGTAATCTATTCCAAGTGGCTTTATGTGATGTCTTCGGAAGGGAGTAAGATACTATTAAACTTAATTTCATATTGAAACCATCAGCAAAATCTGTAACCCAGTCCATAAAATTAGTTTTCATCGCAGTACACATTATAAAAATATCAGTTGGAAGATGATTGTTTCAATTTATTTCTCTGTCTCTCTATAGGAAAGAAACAAATAGCAGCAAGGCAGATAATAAACAGTGAAATGGAAATAATAATAAAAAATAAATCAAGTCAAAATATATCTTAGACTAGATATGTATATGGTTATAAAAATGTTTTGAAGAAGAGGAAATAAAACTGAAAAGAAATGTTTTAGAAAAAAAATGAAGGAGTGAGTTGAACTAAAAGATAAGAGACTAACAACTAAATAAATATATGACATACTAGTCATAAATATGACTAAGCAAGAGAAATTGAAGGGACGAGATGAAAAAACACAAAAAGTATTTAGGTATATTTCTAAAAAATATAAGGAAGGAAGAATATAGAACCATTTGTTTAATCGTGTATATCTTCCATATCTGATTCAACAAAATCAGAAATATAAACACTTTCATGTTTGGCTAATATACGAAGTAATGGGCGTAATTTCAACCACCATTGTTCCACTGGCATTCGGTGTTCAAAATCAGTTTTTGCTTTAAGTGCTTCAACTGGTGTAAAAACATTTTGTCGTTTTATTAAACCAAGTACAACAGCACTCTCTGGTGTATTACACACCACTTTACCTAAAATAAAAAACAAACAAACATTCATATTATCTATTTGTGTGTATGTAATGGAACGTCGTCATATACCATCAGTGATTGGTCCCTTTTCCATTAACGAGACAGCATATGTAACAGCTTTACATCCTAATTTTGTGGCAAATGCACGATCAAATGGTGTTGGTAAACCACCTTGTTGCATATGTCCTAAAACATTACTTCTTGCACTAAATACACCTTTACCTTCTTCTTGTAATAAATTTGTTATAAAATCGGTTGTATAATGTTCATTGGCCATTTCATTTCTTAATAATAAGCCACGTTTTAAATGTCCTTCCATTTTTTTACGCATATGATCAACATCATCAATTAAATCTTTAATCGTAAATGGTTCTTCATAAATACTAAGGAAAAAAACGTTTTGTGTTAATATCATTATTATACACTTGTATTTCTCATGTCTTACTAAGCTTGATCAGCACCACTAGCTAAACCTGCCAATGTAGCTAGATAACCACAGTAGCCGCCCATTGTTTCAATAACAAATATACGACGTTTTGAACCTTGAGCAGATTGTTTAATTTTATCGCAAATCTATTGAGAAAACAGTCAAATTTTTTGTATATTCAATACATTTAATTGTCTTATCCAATTACTTTGACTGTTTCATTCAATGATGTATCGGCTCCAATACTGAACTCTGTTCCTGGTACGTTATTACTAATTGTACAAGGTATACAGATCATTGGTATTTGAAATTCTGGATATTTATTTCTTGCTTCATACATTTGTAATATTGATTGATAAGCCTGAAATAAAGAAAATCAAAATAAATGAAAATTTTAATAATAAATGAATAATTTACTTCAAAGCCACCAATCATTAATAAAGCGTTAAAGTTATATTCACGAAATTTGGCAGCCAACTTTCCTAAGCCAGCTTTTGTTGCATTTGTTCTATGAGAAAAAATATATTCGAAGGTGATCAATTTTATTAATTAATATATACACTTACTTTTGACAGCCTAACAATGAGCCTCCAATTGAACTCCAGCCATTCACGGACATCCAACCAAAATTTTTAACCTGATATGTAAATGTAATAGTTTAGTCTTTCTAGAGTTAAAAGAACAAATACATTCTTACTTGATTACTTAAAAGGCCTTCAAATCCGTCAAACACAACATGAACTTTATGTCCTTCACATAAACCGTATCTTACAATTGATCGAACAGCAGCATTTACTCCACATGCAGGTGCTCCAATATTCAATACAGCGATATTGAATGAATGCTAGAATCAAAAATGAAATAATTTTAATCAACTACGAAGTTGAAGAAGATAATTTTGTTGAAAAAACATTAAAAGTTGTAGAAAATTATTATGGTATAAGGAGTGAACGGTTTGCTAATACAGTGACAATGATCATTATATCAAATATGTATTGATTTAATTTAATTTTTCTCTTATGATCTGCATCGTCTAATCTTCCTCTCTCATTTTCATAATTCATAAAATAGTGCTAGGTATTTGAAAATCTTCCAAGTATTGATAAAATGACATTCTAAGAATCACATTCTTTGCTTTAGTTTTTTAGTTCAATATTAAAAATAAGCTGTTTTAACTGTTAATATTAGAAATCGAAACGATTATCTGATAGACAAAAGCAAATTACGAAACATATATCATTGGTTACATAGAACTGCGTTTTATTTATATATTTGAAGGAAATTAAAGTAATTTTGACTAATAAAGTAACTCTGTAGTAAATAGGAATGCAAATTCCTTCAACTTAGTCGAAATTCTAGCTATATGTCTGAAGGTTTCCTCGTAAGATAAATTTCAAGTTCTCACATACATTCAACATAAACCAAGTTTTATCTTATTCTGTATCATAAAAAAACTTAAGGATCCACTCCCCTCCCTCCATCAGAAATCTATTTTCAACACAATACACGGGATCCTGATCAAATTTTCTAAAAGTGTTGTCTAGATTAGGTTACGGTAAGCATTTAAGCTTGAAAACCTGAGTTTTCCCAAGGTGATCCCAAACATAGTGATCAAAAAGTAGATGTCTGTAATTTCACGATGTCTCCTCCATTTCAAGAGCTAAAAAATCTCAGGTTGGTCTTAAACTTTAGCCAACACTTTTTTCTAGGGCATATCCTCGTCCGATTTTTTATTTTTATCGTAGGTTTTTGTAAGAAACGAAAAGTTTTCAAAATATGAAAAAAGTTCCGCTAACTTTTCGGAGAGGAAATACTAATATACGAAAGAGGTTTAGAAAAAATTGGATGTATATGATTTTTCAAAATAAATTCTGACAAAAGATACCAAGGGCTATCTAACTATATGCGTAACTCCATATCGCAAATTTCACACAAAATTCAAAGTTTTGACGGGAATTAAGTATGACTTAAGCTTGACGAAGACTTAAGGATGTCCGCTTTCTTTTGTTTACAAAAATTTCAGTGAAAAACATGATATATAACGGAGTGACGTGTTCTCTGCAGAATAAGAGGATCATTTTATTTATAAAATTATGATCATTTTGCGAAGAAGAGAAGGATTAACTCAAATGAAAAGATTTTCTAAACAGAAAGGGGAGATTTATTCTTAAGATCAATGATACTCATGTTCAATTTGAGAATATTTGTAAAATACGCCGGAGAGATATTATTAAATGTACATCATTAGCAAACCATGCAAAATGGAACATGCAGCAATATGCAAGAAATTAGTGCTCAATCAATCTATGTATTATAAAAAGGAGCACAATTATTAAAAGTTTTCTGAAGCAGCATACAAGTAGAGACCTGCAACCCGACCCGAACCCGACCCGACCCTAGGATCGGGTCGGGTTCGGGTTGAATATTTGTATTTATGCAATTTAAAATATAAATAATATTTTTAGCTTTGTATTACTGGTTGAAAGTTATCCCTACTGGAATTTCCAGGTGAAAGACTTGTTTCAGAACAATTGCATTCACTAAGTCGATTAATGATTGCTTTCTTTGCACATAAGAGAGTGCTTCCTGCACTGAAATCAATGGCAATGCATCCCTTACTGCTTTTTTTCAATGTACTGTTTTAAACATCCGTACATAGAAGACTTTACTATAATGCTCTCTACTTGCTATCTTAGTATTAGGTGATACTGACTGACCAATGAGAAAAAGGATGTGGTCATCATCTCGGTTAAGATAATCTATTGACAAAGTGTACTGAGGAATTTTCAATAGATTAACCTTTTAGACAAAATGACCAATCAGACGTCGTTCAAAAAATTTTTTTTGAACTACGAGATTCTACAATATACACCGAAAAACTTTTGTCTAACAAGGCAAGTCTATATTCTTTCTCAGCACAGTTTTTTGATGAGATTGTTTTCATCGGGTCGGGTCGGGTCGGGTCGGGTTTGGGTTAAGATGTTGTCGAGTCGGGTCGGGTTCGAGTTAAGTTGTTGTCGGGTCGGGTTCGGGTTAGGCGTTCTTAACCCGTGCAGGTCTCTACATACAAGCGATCATTTATTCAGATCAATTATTATCAGTAATAGTATCTTTGATTACAGCAACAAATGAGGTTTTTCGAAAATTGAAATATATGTAGTGCTGAATTACGTGCATTTTCCGTACTATCAATAATTAGGTTAAAAATAGGTTTAAATAATAAAAATAGTACAAACAGCCGTTTTAGAAAAACATAACAGACTGCTCTATTGCCTGAAATATTTTCATCCAGAAGAATTGGTCAAATAACAACGGCCATTGATTTTCCAATGAACAAAAAAAATCATAAAATCATTCCACAATTCAAACAAAATTAAATGAGTATAAAGATGTCTCTTCTGTATACTCTAGTATATAATTTGGAGAGAAAAGTAATAAATATATTACCTGTGATACCTAAAATGACATGTGAGATGTAGTAACTTTTTCTTTATGTGAGAAACTTTTTTCCATGCACAGTATCACACATAATCAATCATTTGAGCTTACTTCTTTACTTGAAAATAATTTTGGTCGTAATTTACTTAGATAAATATATGTTTCTAAATTTCGTTTAAAACTTCTTCCTCGTAATTCTTGAGCAAGAATAAAGTTCTTTTCTTTCATTGCTTGAGCAACGGCTAAAGTCTGAAAGAACATCGATTATATAACTATAACAAATAATTAAATACAAGAGTAGATCCTACTTTTTCAACACAAAGCATCAATGGTACACGAACTGTTTGATTTCCACTTAATGCAATAACTACTGGTTGTGATGTTGGTGTTGCTTCCATGAGAGCTAATACGGCTTCTGTACCCATTCGTGTTCCCTGTCAAAAACAAAACAAGTTTCATTACAAATTTAGAAAATGATTAAAGCCTTTTGATCTGAGTTAAAATTTGAAAATATATACCAATATACGATCGAAACCAGATGGTGTACCTAAAAAAATAGTTAAGGTACAAAACAAATATATCCAACACTAAAAGAAATTTTAATAATGAAAAATTAGTATACCTCCACGTTGAACATGACCCAATATTGTTATACGTGTATCATAATGTAAACGTTTTGTAATCAGCTGTATTAAGATACAAACGAACATTAATACCATCGAAAACATACATAGATTGTATCATGACTTACATCTTTAATGTATTCTGATGTTATTGGATTTCCTTCTTTATCAATAGCGCCCTCAGCAATAACAATTATATTCAAACGTTGTCCATTCTCACGAGTCTGAAGAGAAAAAATAATTTATAATTTACTCAATACATGCATCATTCAGTCAAGCTTACAATTTTTAATTTTTCACATAATTTGTCTTCCCAATCAGGTTCTGGTGGACTTTCTGGCATAAAAACCCAATCAGCATCAGATCCCAGAGCTGTTACTAATGCTAAGTAGCCACAATGTCGCCCCATTACTTCCATTACAAAACAACGTTGATGACTTGAAGCTGTTGTTGTTATACAATCAATGGCTTCCATAATTCTATGTAATGCTGAATCAGCTCCAATAGTCATATCCGTTCCACAAAAATCGTTATCAATTGATCCAACCAAACCAACAATGTTCAAATAATTAAATTTTTCAGCATTTTCTTTTGTTATTTCACCTAAACAAGAGCAATGTCTATATAGACTATCGTTCTTGAGTGACTGAAATACATACCCTTTTCAGATAGTTCTTTTACTAATCCTTCCCATTCTTTTCGAAATAAATTTGCTCCAGTGAGAGATCCATCACCACCAATACAAACAATATTATTAATTTCATGGTCAATTAGATTTTTTGCCGCTCTCAAACGTCCAGGTCTCTCTCTAAATTCTAGACAACGAGCACTACCAATTATTGTACCACCCTAAAACCGAAAACGAACAAATAGATAAATTAGGTGTACATAATCACCCTCACACGAGCAAAGCATAGAGCAAAAGAATATAATTAACCTGGCGATGACGTAATAGATTCTACTTTCTCTATTTCAACACTCAAATATTTACTTACATCGTCTAATATGCCACTGACAGATGCCCAAGTTGCTTGACGAATAAGATTTCCACCTGCAACCATTCCTTGATAACCCTAAAAAAAATACCAGATATCATTTTGTTTGAGATCAACACATGATGTCAGAGATACGCACTTCATGAATAAAATAAACTTTACATCCCAGATAAATTCCCATTCTCACAACAGCGCGTACCGCTGGATTCATCCCTAATGAATTAACAATAAAACATTAAATATTGCGACTTGTACTAAAACGTTGATTTACAGTTTAAATCTTTATTCAGGCAAAATCAAAGTGGTTAGAATGATGATCAATACTTACACAAAAATATATGAAAAACAATTTGGTATTAATATTATAGAAGATTTTTTTATTCAAGTGGCAAGAATATTAACGCCATTACCATAGGAAAGAAGTATTAGCATTTAATCAGACATGCTTCCTTCAATATAAGCATCAAACGTGCACAAATAGTTCGCTGTGTACACTCATCTGAGAAACCAAAACATATTAAAACTAAACTAAACTTAACACGTTCTGTTAGGATACATTCACTTATGAATACGAGCCAAAGACATCAGAAATGAATAAACATGCAAAAAGCTTTTAGAACTAACAGTTTTGACTTTAGTTTTATTTACCCAGCTTTGTTAGCACGATACGTAGCTATACCCACCTTGCGCATCTCCTCCAGATGTAAAAACTGCCAAACATCTTCCAACAAATTCATTTTTGGCAATGAAATGTCCCTCTTTTCCAACTGTCATATTCGGATCCAGTGATAACGAGCCATGACCAATAAAGGTTTTCTGCCAAACTTCTTTCTCAAGTATACCTTCAGGTGAAGTAGGATCAATCAGCTAAAACACACATATCCATACTCTCAACTTCGTATCTATACTGTGAAATATCTGACTTGAACTAAAAATCTTATGAGAAAAGAGAAAACCCAGTTTTTAAGAATCTAATGCGTTATATAATAAAAAAAATTAACGATTGTATAGTAATACATCAGATTATACAAACAAAAACAAAAACACTCATAAAGCATGTGGGTCAAATGCAGAGAAAAGCGAGTACACAGAGTTCTGAGAGTCGAGCATACGAGTAGGAGTACGAGTATTTTCTGAAAAGTATTCGAGTAGTACTCGACTATAAAATTTTTCGCAAGCCGGTGATTCGGAAAAAATTGTTTTTTTGATGTCTAAATAGTAATGTCATCAGCATTTTGTACTGGAGTATACTCGACTACGAGTATATGCTCATACTTGCCCATCTCTGATCAAGTGTATGCATTCTTCATCAACCAAAATAACGTTCTTTTGTAAACTAATAAGCAATACTGTAAGCCCTATGATAATGCAAGCAAGCAATCACCCGTTCTTATGCATATTCAACAGGCAAAACGTCACAGAGTACACACACAAAAAACAAATATCACTTGCCCTGCGCATCGCCTCCACTAGTAAAAACAGCCATTGCACGACCAGGATATTGATCTTTAGCAAGTACATGAAGATTTGTTTCATAACCTTCTGTGCAGGCTATTGAACCGCGAAATTTATTCCAAAGATTGGACGATGATGATGTCCCGGTATCTGCATTATCGGCGCGTACGGAACGCAATGTTCCTACTGTATCATTCTAAAATTAAGGGCAGATGGAGATATTTGTTATTAGAAAAAAGACTGATATGAACAGTTTTTTCAAAAATACTTCTGGGTTTCAGGAAAAAGATAACAGTTATTGTTATTATGTTAGTAATTGAACGAGCTCCTTATGCCTGATAGATTTTCTTCTAATGCAATTTCTCAATTCTCAGTGTGAGTGAGAAATGATCCCTCTTGTTAAAAAGAGTTCAATACAGAATACTTCCGTTTGAATCTATAATTAAAAGTTATTTTTTGTATGTATAATAAAACGTATCTAATAACCGAAAGTTGTTGTTTGATGATGCGTTAACGAAAAATAGATAGAAAAAAATTTGAAGGAAAAGACCTCAAAAAAGATGATAATAAGTAGGCATAAAAAAATTTGTGTCCATAAATAGCTCGTGTAATGAGTTTAAAAACTTTTATAGTATTAAGCGTTATATAGATATAATCGATAAAAAGAGAAGAGTTAAGAACACCGGATGCACTGTCAAAACTATTATTTATCGACATAAAATGTACAAGAGTTGAACATTAGCTCAGTGTCAATACAATATCACTATAACAAAAAGGTTAAACAACAAGTTAAAAGAATAGAGTTTTGAATAAAATTGGCTATATTCCACATACAAGAACATGTAAGAAGATGTATTCACATGGTTCTGACATATGTATAACAATGAACTCAAATCTAATGACATTTTTTCTCGTATTCGGTTCAGAACAATTGACTATGATCAAGCTAGTTGTAAATTACAACTGACTATCCTCGGTTCACAACAACAGTAACTCCATTTAATTTTTTTCAGAAATGTCGTTCTAGACACGTTCTTTTTTTGGTGTTGAATTAAATCGTAGTAGTAAAACATGTAATACTACGTTTCGACGTAACAATTGTATACAAAAGTAATTTCGTGATTTAAAACCGATACTTCCTTCACACTATTTAGAACATCGATTAAACTCGTTACTGTAATTCAAAATGCGTAAAATAATAGCTAATTTTTTTCTGAATTAAAGCGGTGCAACGTAGATTAAAAAGGAATAAAAAAAGATCTATCTAATAGCTAAAATTTTTAACCTGAGAGTAGAAATTGTTAGAACACTTTTAGAGGTTTTCAACTTTTGAAACTTTTTGATAATGAAATTTTGTTACAGAGAAATTTGTTTGTTAAAACTTTTGCAATTTACACTTTACTCTTTCAAATGAAAAAAAAAGACACATCATAAACATGAGAAAATAATGATAAAAATTTTGAAATTACTTTTGTATTAATATACTAATATATGAATATAAATATTAATGCATAAATGACTAATTAAATCAAGTTTTGTTTATACAATTTCATTTAAAGTCAAATCAACTACTTGCCAAGGGAGGCAGTTATTTTGCCAATACTCTTCTTGTTTAAAGAAAATAAAACAACGAATTACCTCCTCTTCCGCTTCATCTACATCAGGAATCGGAGCTTGATTATTTTTCGGCTGGGTTTTTAAATCTGGATTAATTGATGATTGATTAGTTTCATTTCCAACTTCAGCCATATCAAAAAATAAATGAAACAGATCTAAAATCAAAATAAATTTATAAAATCAATATAAAATATATTTCAAGGTCATTAGCAACAATTTTAAGTCTCATAATGATAGCATCCTATTTGAGCCATATCTTTCAAAAAATACAAAACAACATAGATTAGGTCAAGTATTAATACTGACATGTATAACAAACATAGGACTATAAAGTGTACGGAGACTTGATAAAACACCTTCAATAGTCGCTGACTACTACTGAAAAACCGTTTACTATTCATAATTAATATCAATAAATTTATAGCCATCAGTTATTCAATATCTTCATGAAAAAATTTATTTTCTCTACTTACAAGATTATTAAAGTAATAATTATCATAAATTATTAGTATTTCCTTCTCTCACTTTAAACATTAGTAGATTTCATTCAAACTACAATATGATGGAATAAACGAATAAAATTAGTTTATGAAAATCTTTAAGAATAAAATTCTAGTGTACGATGCTACCAAAAGCATTCTTTCACACTAGTACGATTCTTATCGTGCTCGCAATCCAATATGCACGATAATAAATGTATAAAAAAGTTTGAAGTGTTGGAACAAACATAGAAATTTCAAAATGATTTTGAAGAATATCTTAAAAACATCATATCTTTAAAAACGACAGGAAAGATGGGAGTGGTATCAACTCGTCGATCACATCATGTCTTACGTAATTTTGAAAATTTGTTTATAAATGATGGATGCTCGTAATTAGGGTGCACAAATTCAATTTTTCGAAATCAGAAGTTTTTCGTAAAAAATCAGGAGTTGATCAGGAGATTTTTTTCGAAATCAGGAGAAAAACAGCAGAGGATCAGGCGGTTTTTTCTTGAAAAAGAAAAATTTTCATTCCCACAAACGCTTGTGACTTTTTTCTGCCATGCAAGTAATGAGAAGGTCTGTCTTACAAGCGAAATAAAGAAAAAGAGAGAAAAATAATCATATGTAGGTTATTCTACGAGTATATTCCCAGCTGTTGATTTAACAATATAAACAAAACAGACACAACTATTTTTCAAGAAACCGATACGAAATAAAACAAAGCGAATACGGAGAAAAAACTGTTTGCTACACCGTCTGTGGTTTTTTGTGCAACACGATTGTAATGCACGCCAGTTCTCTTTCCTCCGCTTTTTTATTGATCCAAAATGTCGCTAAAATCGATGCAGGAAAACAATTGAAAATCAGGAGAAACCAGGAGAAAATCTTAAAAATCAGCTTCGGAAGTCAGGAGAATTTTCATCAGGAGAAAAGTCAAAAAATCAGGAGATTTGGGCAATCTGCTCGTAACTGAAAAATTCATTCAATTCACATGCAGTTCCATCTAGAGAAAAGGCTCTCTTACTCCCCATAACACACAAAAAGTGTAATGTACATGTAATCATTATTAAAACGTTCTCGATTATAAAAAAAGTGTTTGATGTTGGTTTTAGAGAGAAGGCTTTTTTTCAAAACGGGACTTGCGTTAGAAAATTTATTTTTTGGACATTTTCTTTTTGTCTAAAATCTATTGTATTATACACGATTAGTGTCGTCTGATGAGCTGATTCCGAATATACTGTTTGTATTAATTAAAATTACTTATCGTATGAATGAAAGGAGATTTTATATGAAAATTTTTCGGATTCTTAAAGAACTTGTTGTAAGGACTAGGAAAGTTTATGCTAACAACATCGTTGTAACAGACTCAGGACAACATTTGTGCAACTGTTGTTTGAACAACATTAGTTATTGAGATAATTCGGGGAACTCACCACACTTTCTTATAAGTATCACTAAGAAAAAAAACTATTTTATACTATAAGATGTGATGATTCGATTCTATTAAAAGATTAAAATAAATATCTCTACTTAACGTATTCACATTATCAAAATACTTTAAGATTGTTTTATTATCAAAAATCTCTGATTTAATTTAAATATTTCACGACAGTGTATAGCTCTTAAAATGAAGTTTAATATTCTCAAGTTAGACATTGAAAAATCTTACTTTCGACTTTTTAGCTAAATGTATGCCGAAATAGATGCCGATATTTGATTTTCAGACTAGATCTTCTTAAAAACTTAAATGAAAGTAATATCTCTCTCACTCTTATATATAAAAAGATAAGATAGTATTTTATGTATTTTATGTAACTACTTCTGAAACTGATAGCTTTTTGATATCACATAAAATCAAAACCTTTGAATTGCCGTTAACAAAACAAAAGAAAACACGCACACGTAAAACTTTGTCAAAGGGTATCTAGAACTAGAATAAGTAAAATCCGATTTAAAGAAAAATAGATAACAATGATCTTCTGTTTGTCTATAAACTAAAGGCTATCATTCTCAAGCATACATAGAAAGAAAAAAGTGATGAATAAAATACATAAACCGGAATACAAAAAAGATGTAGAATCACTGTTACCAAAAATAGGAATATTTAGCACTCTCATGAAAAAAACAACAATAATAAATAGACAAAAAGTAAAGGGTATATGTTTTAGAAGAAAAAAACGACTCTTTTAATAAGACAAAAGCAGTGGGTGTCAATTCTTTTGGCTGTAACAAACAATTCATAAATTCTATTCTAATTATATAAAATAGTTATACAAGAAGAAAAAAAATTCTTTTCCATCATGTAGTTACATATAGAAATGAGTTCATCTTCTGCATACCACTTTAATAGGCAAATGTTAGATAATTCTTAATAACTAACTATAAAATCAGTTTTTCTTTCAAAAATAACAACAACAACAACAAACAACTGTCAGATTGTATGTATTTTTACAAACAATTTAATTGTTGAGCAGAATAAGACAGATCAATTTTAATGCAAAAAAGTTTACTGCATTGGTGAATTTTTCAAAGGTACAAGTATTTTTGATTCCATTTTTCTTATTAATGGTACTGTGTAAGCGACATTATCATCCCAACCAGGTCGCCTAAAAAAAACAATCAAAGTAAAAAAAATGTATAAAATTAGCAATATTTATTTCCATATTTCTTCAAAATTACCCCCAAGCAGCAGAACGTGTTAGTTTTCTATTGTGAAAATCTTTGTAGCACCACATATGATGAACATTATATAATTCGCCAATTTGTGAGAAAACACCTAATACTTTTGCATCTGGTCGATATTTAATACCTTTAACCCTAAATAAGAGAAGGATAATATGTTGAAAAAAAAAGTAGTAAACAAAATATTTACCAATTATTTCCCCATTCGACTAAAAAACAAAGGTAAAAATCAATTAGAAAGATTAATCAATAGTAAGAACCTACTTAATGTTCCAGGTTTTAACCAATAACTTCGCATTTCATATATATTATTTTGTCGACTTCCACTCTCTAGTGGTCGTGGTTGCGGTATACCTAGAAGAACAGTATTCATATATTATAGAAAATATATTGTAGACTAAAACTTACCCCAATAACTAAACGATAAACAGACTTGATTTGCTCGTTGAACTAAATAATCGTTCATTTTTTCTCGATATTTTATTACTTTATCATCATCTGTTCGAAAATCACTTCCAAATTCATCAAATTGTGAAAAATTCTTAAACATCCAAATATGTACAAATTGATTTTGAACATTTCCAATATGTACACGCCATGATCCAGTATGTATTAAACCTTGTACATTATATTTTTGAATTATTTCTGATATATAATCATTATAAACATTTTCATAATCAGTCTAAAATATATTAAAAATTAATTTTTAACACATTTCTATCAAATAGAAAAATATTAATTATATTATTTACCATGTGTCTTGGTTTAACAGTATGATGTTGTACTTCAAATACATGTTCACTTTCAGTTAAGAGTTTTGAATGAGAATCTTTCGGTTGCTCTAAAATAGAATAAAAATACTTTTATGTTTAACATTAAGGTATCATAAAAATGTACATACCAATATTTTTTGGAGCAAATGGATTGAATGATAAACAACGTGAATTTAAATTAAAAAGAAAATTTATCTTTTTTAATAATGAACCACCATCAGTACATAAAAATCTTGACGGTGAATACATTTTACTTCGTTTAATACGAACTACTCTAGAATTTATACACAAGAAGAGTTTTTTTCTTGATATTATTGGTAGTGTCAAATATTGAACGCATACGTCGAAGTAAAATGAAAAACAAGTTACGGTAGTATGATTTCGTCATGGAATAAAATATGTAAACTAGCATTTTGACACAATTTCTTCATTATCTATTCTAAACCTATTCTCACCGTAGTCGTCAGATTTCAATAAAACAGATGTGAAAGAGTCTCGCTCACTCAAGCCTTTTTACTGATAGAAAAATCACGTCCTAACTGAACGTCTTTCTGTTTATCATGTAACATACAGAATTATATGCAAAATGTCGTAGTACAAAAATAAAATTAATGAAACAAATAATAAGCCTAAATTTATTAAAATCCTTTTTCTTTAAGAAAATCTGCAATCCATTCTTCATATTCTCCATCAATGAGTATATGCTGTCTTATTTCATCTACTTGTGATAATATTGGTAATTCTTTTGTTTGATCATTCGTCTCTTTTACTCTTTTTGTTAAATAGTCTTTTAAATCTTCATCTAATTTCCAAATATCACCCGATATTAATTCTAATAAACTAAAACGTCTCATACGCTGTGCATACATATCATATTCTACACGTCGTCGAAAAATATTCAAATAATAAGTATGTTGTTCATGTAACCAATATTCTAACATGACTGGTAAAATTTTAACATATAATCCATACGAATGAAAACGATCACGATCAACAAAATAGGACCATTGTTTTGCTAATTCTAAATTTCTTGGTACCCATCCAGAGGGTGTTGCATGATCAGGTGGATCAGGAATAATTGATTTGAATAAAATGTTGTCAACCCATTCCCAACCTTGATGTGTCGACTCATAAGATTGAATAAAATTAGCATTTGCATATTCATCAGGTAAATCTGTGATAGGTTTTGTGGCTGTATCAGGTGTTGTTTCGCTGACATCTGATCTATATATGTACGATGACGTAAGACTTCGACCGAAAACCGGTGGAGTAAAGAACGGTACTTTTTTCAGGAAACGTAAGACAGACATTGTCTAGAAAATAAAAAATTTGACAAATTAAACGATGAAAACTGAATAAAATTTCGAAAAATATAAACACACTAGAAAAGTCCTATATTTTATATAAAATAATTATAGAACAAATCTCAGCAATGGGTCGTGAGAAGTATACCATGAGATGTTCTATGTAATGCTCTGTAAATTCACTACTGAAATTTAGTCTGCTGATTCTAAAACAATCGTAAGATAAAGAGCCCATTGAAAATTAGTTCTATCTGATAAATCAATATGTTCCAAACAAGAAACTTTTCTATTCAAACCAGAAAGTCCTGAATACCTTGAGTGAACTTTCAATCGTTTCAACTTCTTTGCATAGTGTAGATAGTTTAATTGCATAAGAGAAATTGCATAAGGATATATCTTACAAATAAATCCTTCAAAAAATATTTTTATCAATTCTAAATGAGCAAACTTTACAATAATTACAATATGCTTTTCTACACAGTAGAACAGATATAAAAAGAAAGATATTAGAGAATACACATCTAAACATCTATACAAAATATATTTCATCGTTCTCGTGTTCGCTTTTCAGCTACAATAGTGGAAATATCTCGAAGTGCCATTGAAAAATTTTGAACAGCTTCGCGAAACATTTTAACGCTTTGCGCATCCCATCCAACATCAAAAGAACTTCTTGAGTGACGTTGCTCTTGTTGTTGTTGTGTTTTATTATCGTCAGTCGAGTCTTGTAAGAATGATGATGAACTATCGTCTAAATCACGAAATAATAAGCCAAATTTTGAAAATACTTCACCCGCTTTTTCACATAGATCACAGACGTCTTTTTGCGAAGATGGAACAGGCATCTAAAAGAGGAAGAAAACTAAGGACGTCATTGTAAGAAAACATCATTTCACAAAACTAATAGAAAGATTCATTTCATGTTAAAGCTATTATGTATAGAAAAACAAGTGATTAATAGATTCCATAACCAGATCTTAACGCGAATTTTTATAGGTTCTCTTACTTTTATAGCAGAATCTCAACTCGATTCATAATCACATTAGACTGAGAATGAGCAAGATTATCCCTTAGGGTATATATAACATTATACTTTTAACAAAACTATTTTATTTACAGTGTTATCCTTTTCCATATGGGTCAAAATAAACTACAATAGAAATGATTGGAGAATCACTTTGTGAGGGATGCTGTTGATAGTAGCTATTAATTATTATTGTAGCTTATCTTGACCTTTCATATGTCCGGAACGATGGCATCGAGTGGTTTGCAAAATCAGCCAATCATTCTGTGACAATTTCCTCTCCATAGAAATACTACATTTTTATCGTGTACGTAAAAAAAAGACTCGTGATAATGATACTTCTAGCAATTACCATCGACGAAGTGACTCATTTGCTTAGTCAGGTATGCGAATAGAATTAGAAAACGGTTTGAACAAACCAATACATAGAGACCAACAATTTTCTTTCATTTGTTTTTGTCACTGTCGTCAAACATGACAGACAAGACAGAATAAAAAAAAAGAAGAAAAACAAGAAAAAGAATTTCTTTTTCTTGTTTTTAATTTAATTGAAAAATAAAGTTTATAGACAATGGATCTTTATGATTATTCTCTTTGGTTCTCGATTTCTTATTACTTTTTCTCGACTTTTGTGCGTTTACAGAGTTATTTTTTCTGTTCAGCTCGTCTATTATATCATATATAGTTTAGACGTTACTGACTGACTGGAGAAAATTATATTTTTTCAGACTAGTTAACAACTATGTTTATTTTTACTTTTTTTAGATTATTTTGCGTAGTACAGATTTTTCAAAGCATTCCCATTTATAAACTGAAGACGATTGTGATTGCACTAACTTAAACGACAAAATGACAGATATACCGTATGAAAAAATGTCAACAAATGATGGTAAGCTAGACGTTAACATTATTTTTTTCAATTAGTTCTAAAATGCTACTCTGTTACTTAACGTCAGTAGTGAGCAGAAATATAAAATATTGATCTTTCGAAGTTGTACATCATCACTGCTTTTGCTTAGAGCTTCTCTACACTGAGTATCTGAAATAAGAGCCATTTAAGAAAGAAAGAATCATAGAATGCGTTAAATATGAAAATAATCAAATATTTCATATTGAATGTACATACGTTAAATGGCTTAAATACCAAAAGTTAACGCGGTCAAACATGATTCCGAAAAAAAAAAGGAAAAAAACTGAGTTAACTTCTAAATTTAACGCGTTAGAAAAGTGGATTAACCCGTTAAGTGTTTCATATTTAACGTGTTCTAACGATCGTTAGCCATTTCAAATTGTTTCTTGGAATGTCCATAGAGAACTCATGAAAACTGATAGCTGTTCATATGTGTGTGCCTACCTAATACAGCGTTCAATTTTTATTCTGAGTATAAACTGCAAACGATAAAAAGCACATGTTCTAGAATGTTACTTAAGAGTTTTCCGTTTTTGGACGGAATAGGATTCTACAATAGACGGCACTTTTTGTTGCTGTTCTACCCTTGTTTGTATTGTCTTCTAGACAGATTTCGTGTAAGGTACCAATACTGCGCAATTAAAGCAGAAAAAAAATTTTTCGCTTGTTATACATGATTGGATAGAGCTCATCGAGCTGAGTTAGAAAACGTGGTTTTTAATGTTTTACAAATCTTTTTCAGGAAGAAAAATTGAAAATAGTCGAAGAGTCTAAAATTAAGGAAAACCATTTAGCTTAAAAAAAACATTTTTTTCTTTCTCGTGTTTCTAACTTTTTGAAAGCATCTTTTTCTGATTCAGCATTAAAAACTGAGTAGTAGTTTAATTTATTCACGAAAACTGAGTCATCAAAGGTCCATGATCTGTAAGATCAATGACTCAAACTCAAATAAAAATGAGATAGAGAAACAAAAATAATGACAGAAATAAACAAAAGAAAAAGAAACTAGAATATGCAACGAGGATATAAAAGTAACGATGAAAAATAAACAAACATAAATAAAACAACGTTAGAGAAAAACAAACAATACAAATTGATTATGACTAGGAACACGGCTGAATTTTACTGTAAGAGATACAAAAAGGCACTTGTTCAGTATCTCTTACAGTAAAATTCAGCCGTGTTCCTAGTCATAATCAATTTGTATTGTTTGTTTTTCTCTAACGTTGTTTTATTTGTGTTTGTTTATTTTTCATCGTTACTTTTATATCCTCGTTGCATA